GGGTTTATATGGCGTAAGGGCTCGAGATTCTGCTTCATTCGGCGAAGCGCCTGCATAGCCTGTCGTTTCAATAGATATGCTTCATCAGGTTAATAGAATTTTGATTGATTGATTGATTGATCTTCGGCTCGCTTTGCAACGGTATAAGGTAGTCTACCAGATGGCGATTGCTTTCCGTACATGACCTGGCGAAGGAGTCAGCATTCTTGGCTTAGCAGGATCGAATGAGTGTTATGCGTTCTTCCAGCGTCCGACCACATACCTCAACCAAAGCTCTCCCACTATCCTGTCCCGGTAGATGAGCGTAAAGGATAGCAGTCACGTTGGGGTGGTCGTAGAAAGCGTCCACAATCCGAATTCCAGCATTGTGAATGACGACAATTGTGTTGGGGCATTGAGATGCAACATTCGCAACGAGAGTATCGGAGTATTCGTCAGTTAGCGAGGTACGATCATAGCCCTCTGCTGCCCAAGCATTGATAAACACAATACAGGCATCGGCATTGACATCAGGGCTAGGATTCTGGCTCACAAAGTCCCAGTTGACCCAGGTACCGTCAATCCATGCTTGTTGTGAGAATGCTTCAAAAGGACTGCTAATATACGCAGGAGTATTTGACCCAGACCCACCACCAGTGATCAGTGTCCCAGCGTAGGCTGCATTAGGTACATTAGCTGGATCGACGTTCCCGGAAAGAAATCGGGCATTGTGCTCTTCTATAGTGACATTGACAGAACTATAGCCGAGCCCCCAGATGTAGTAACCGGTAAGAGATGCTGCTTCCACATGAGGTGCGGGTCCGTCATATCCAAAGAGGGAGAGGACTTTGGGTGCTTTGAAAGGTAGGATGTTGTTGGTGTTCTTGACAAGGACGATACCTTCCACAGCTCCCTGTAACAAGGTGCTCTTGGATGCTGGGTCGCGTGCGTCGACGTACGGGAAGCTTTTGTTCAAGCCTGGAAGATCACTTTGCGGTTGCCCAAAACCTGGGATTTGGAACGGTGCAAATTGAAAGTACGAGGCCAGGATTCTGAATGAATGTTAGGACCGCCTAATAAGTGTGCCTGCCACGAACCTTGTTGCCATATCGCTCAGTCGAGCGTCAGATACTGTGCCATTGGCGACAGCTTGGGTCAGATTGCCGGCAAAACCTCTAGGAGCCGGCATGGCTATATCGAGTCTGCGAGACTTCGTCAGCATGGTATTCAGAGAGGCCGTGGCGGGACACGGCTTGTTACCCAGCATTAACTGATGCCGTCTGAGTATACGTCGCACCCCAATCTGCGCGAGTTAGTTATGTTTTACAGTTCTTGAATTATCGTATGCTTGCCTGAGATGATGACCGTGAGAGTTGTTGACGCGATTATAAGAACACATCATGCTTCCGCACCTGCACGAACTGCACTTTGGAACGGGTACACTTTACAATGGTAAGCTGGGACCCCTCACAAAGTGGCATTGCCCACTTACAGTACTGCTCGTGCAAGGTCTTATCGTCAATGTTCGCAGAAACCGACTCGTTTGCTCCCGCAGGCACACGGTTCGTCTCTTGTTCGTTGCCAATGAAGTGCTTGACGCATACAATGACCGATTTCTGGATACCTGATACGGTTCTGATATACAAATGAGCTTCTGCGGCTTATTTGTGCAAAGGTGAGGATACCTTACTCAAAAGAAAGCTCCCCAGAAAGGTACGGATCGGGCCCGAAGCCTTCCCAGACTCTTCCTCCGAGCACAACCTTCTGGTGGTTAGTCCAGGTCCCAAAATTGGAGGCGATGACTTACTCGGCCCATAGGCGAGATAACTGGACCAAGTAAGGTGTTCCCTAAAGTTCGTTAGCGTCATAGCATGAGAAATGGGGGTCTTAAACCCCACAGTTCCTGGCTTTGAACTCTTTGCCAAGGAAGAACCCTCTGTGATAGACACCTGAGCGGTTCCATGAAGCTGCGCCCGTGATGCCTGCCGGATAAGCACTCACACCGTCTGAGCTTCGGACTCCGTTGCCCGCATCTTGGAAGCACATGCCGTTAAAGCCTAGACGAGGGACGCCTTTTATAAAGCCTACATCGGTATGTAAGTCATGCGACGTCGAATCGTGGAGCGAACGAATTACCAACACAGCCAACTTGAATGCTTGGGTCGTCACCTTGCTGAATACCAGTAGTAAGGGTGACCTTCTCCTCTACGGTCATTTGGCCGACTAGAGCGCGTGCCTGTGAATAGGCTTCCGCCCAATCGTCTGTGCCAATGCCTTGAGCTACAACAGGTCAGCACCTGCTCAGGATAATCTTGAGGTAGAGAGACCATTATATCTAACTCTTTTCGCTAATCGCTGTGACCGTCTGACTTCGCTTCCTTCTATATCCAATAGTTGGCGTTTCTTCGTTCCTAATTTATTGCAGCCAAACGTCGAATCTTGACCAAAGGTCGGTTCTCCCTGTGAAGAAAGAGAATCGTTAGTAGGCAAAGTCTGTAGTTTCAAAGAGTGGCCATCATCGCCTCCTTGGTCGCTGTCTAAGACTGGATAGTTGATAGGAGCCAATGGCGTGATCAGAAACCGACCTTTTTCATCCTTGTTGTTAGGTACTTTTTCTTCGTACATAGGTATTGTAATCAGCAGTGGAATAGAGGCCAAATCAACGGACGCAGCCTCGCGCAACAGGGTATCTTCGTCAACCAACATGTCCCACCAAGACTCTGGTGTAGTCAAAGCCTCAGCGTCGACATCAGTAGCGGAGTCCGCGAGGAGATCAACGCTGTCGCGGAACATTTGCTCCCACCAAGGCTCTGGCGTGGCCATGATGTCGGTGTCCGCATCAGATTTGATCTGCTCATCCTCAACGTAACCATAGTCCTCTTCAACATAAATCAAGATAGGGTTAGATTCTGAGCCCAACGGAGCATCATCATCTTCGATCAGGATAGGATTTGTCTGCGCGCCAAGACTAGAAAAATCGTGGAGAACGACCGTAGGCCAGTCGCTTTGCGCTATCAAGATGGAAAATCCCAAGTTAGCGAGGTCAATGTAGTCGTTTCCATAGAGATCTCACCCAATGTTTCGCGTGCGTTGTTCATAGAGGGTCTCATGCTGACTGGAGTGGAAAAGGGGGTTGGATACTTGCAGGAATTCGTTGCTCTCACGTCCTGGCTTTATACCTCTTTGCTGATCGATTGCGCCTTGTTCGACCGGGATGTGGAACGAAATTTCTGCGCCAGAGCTTTGACTGAACAAATCCCCCTGCCAATCGGTTGGCTATCGCAAAGCCAACCCTCCATGTAGTCCAATGGCTATGTCGTGCTATTGTTGGAGCTTGCATCTCTGCGTATCACTTGCGGCCACACTACTATCATCGTGAGGTTTGTTGTGCTGCGCCTGCCCATTATTTCGTGGCCTAAGCCAAAAGATGCAACACTTAGGATGCTGCTGCTGCAGAACATTCTGTTTCTTATGTGGCGATCTCGTTCTGTAAGTCGGTCTAACTTAGGAATTCCAGCAAGTCGTGTTGATAGTGGGTCTCGTAGACATAGAAGGATAATTGAGCGATGGTGTATGACATATATTGAATCCCAACGTGAAGGCCGTCCTGATATCGACTAACCCGTCATAGGGAAAGGGGTGTTTGGCATCGCGAGCGAAAACGGTCGTCTATTCGAGTAGTCAGACTAGGCATAAATGAAGTCGCGCATTGTTCGGTGATCTAACCTCGAGGCAGATTTTGAGACTCGCCGGGCAATGTTCTAGATGTGACAATTTGATGAGCGATCGCCACCTGAGTAGTTACAGGTCGGCGCAGCAAGCCAACGGCAAAATTGCCTCAGATTAGTCGTAATGGTGGGGGGAACAGAAGACGGGCTGGAGCGAGTAAAAGCAACGTAAATTGATTGAGAGGTGCGACTAGTCGCACAGAAGATAACGCAGGGGGTGGAGCTCGGTGATCCGAATGAATAGTAAAAATGCCTCACCAAATCGAGAATCAATGAGACTAAGAGGTGAGGGTAAGAAACAAGGGGATTACAAGGGATTGAGGAGGGCTTTATAGATCCACGTACGGGAACGCATAACGACAAAGAGCGCTAAACCAAAAGGGTCCAAACTTAACCTAAAAGCGCAATTCGTCGTAACAATCCGATATGGTGTAATGGTTAACATCGCCGTCTCTCACACGGCAGCTCGGGGTTCGATTCCCCGTGTCGGAATAAGCGTTCGACCTTCTCCTTTTTTTTTTGTCTTTTCCTCAGCTTTCTCTCTTTCAAGATTAAATTGACCAATTGAATTGGTTTTGTTTTGGGGTGGTGTATGCATCTTCGACACCATCCGTCCATCATCATCAATGGCGGCATTAGGAGAGCTAAGTAAAAAAGCAAGCCTCTCTCTCTAAAATGAGGATGGTTACTTATGCTCAGCCCATATAGGGTTAGTGTGCTATAGGTCTTGGGGCTATCTTTAGTGAACTATCAGGGTGTTGTTACTAAGTCAAGTAAACGTAGACCAGAACAAAGATGGACGCAAATGTAAAGAATAGTTGCTCCTGCACAATCAATTCCAAGAAGCCAGCAGCACAAGCCAGTCTAGTTAGAACCAAAGCATCTCCCAACTATTTATATCATCCAGTGTACTTCGAATTCAACACATAAAAGTATCCTATCATTCCTACCTATACAAATACCAACAATCATATTAGACAGATACAAAGAATGCAATCATAATCGATGAATTGAATCAGGTATCCGGTATCAAACGCCCAAGAACAATATCAAAAACGTAAGCCCATACATGACTACAAGAGAACATAACATGCAAGAAATTAAGAACCCGCAATAGCACAGCAGAAACAAAAAACAACCATAACATAAACCCATAAGATATCCCATCTCAATCCATCCATCCATCATTTTTAGCCTGACTGGCAAGTAGACAGGCAGACAAAATGCAAACGCAATATGCACAAATGCAGAATGCAAATCAGACATCAAGAATCAAAACCCCAATCCAGATCAAGATCAAGATCAAGACGAAGATTAAGAAGACGAAGCAGCCTGTCTCTTCAAACCCTGTTCGACCTCCTCCAACAGCGCCAATAACTCCTTCCCGCCCTCCGTCTCCCGGGCCTCGATATCCAACCCACGCTCAATAACCGTTTTGGCCTCATCCCACCTCGACATCTCAGCCAAACACTTCGCGGCGCGCCACCAAGCCTTAACATTGCCCATCGGCTTACTCTCGACAGCGGTCTTCGCATCCAACATCCCCTCAGGCCAGTTCTGCTGGGCCATCTGCGTCTGCGCGCGGTTGGAATACAGCCCAGCCAGCTCGTCACGAGTCAGCGCCACAGGCTCCCAGCCGGGTCGAGCCAGCGCCATATCGATAGCGTAGGTGTACAGACGGGCGGCCTCGTCGTAGTTGTTCTTGCGAAAGGCGGTGTTGGCCGAGTCGCGGAGTTTAGTAATCTGGGCGCTGCGCTTGGGGTTGACGGGGAGAGGGGGAGGAGGGATGTTGGGAGGGTCGACGCTGATGAGGGCGCGGTGGAGGGCGTTCAGCTCTTGGAGTTCTTCGTTGAGGGTGGCGGTTTGTTGGGCGGAGTATGAGGTCGAGGATGACGCGTCGAGGGAGATCGCCTTCGAGGAGGGATCGAGGTGGAGGGGGTAGTGGTTGAAGAGGTCGACGCTGCTGGCCATCTTGACGACTGTGTTTGATGTGCTTGGGGTATCTTTGGTTGTCTGGTTGGGCTGTTTGGAGGATGGTATTGTGCCTAGATTTGGTTAGGAAGATGGGTACGGAAAAGTCAATGGGTAGACATACTCAGTAGTCAAATAGAATATTTGACAAGGAATTTGAGCAAAAATGAGCACTAGGAAATGAATTGCCCAGGATGAGGATGCAGGAAGATGACGGTTGATAAAGTCCGCAAGCTGTCCAAAAGAACTTCTCCGATTGGAAGGCGGTGATGAACTGCCACACTTTAACTTGGCGGTGAGGCCGATATCTCCATGGAGCCTTGCGTTATTCTGCCAATGTTTGTTGGATTATTTGCTTTATGTACACACGAATATTGACCAGTTGTAGCTATCCTCCTATACATAACTAGTATCAACACTACATTTCCACATTATAGACATATAGACACGCTATATAATTCAAATTCCTATGCAATCATCCGAGCAACTAAGATCTCAACACTTAACACTGAAAGAAAGGGTTATGTCGTCAAAATCATCATGTAAAAGGAAACAACAAGATAAAAACATACATGGCCAGCACTTCACTTCCGCCCGGAACCAAACAGAATAATCATCAGATGCAGAGCTTTCATGGATCAAAAACAAGCTAGAGAAACAAGGGTAGTACAGCGTTGAAAAAGTGCGCCCACAAACACCGCTCCATGGTTTCGTTTCGAGATACAGCAAAGGGGAAAGGGTAAGAAGAAACGCTCGTCGACTGGGGAGTCGACTTAGCGTCCGTAGGTGCCGCTGACGTGGGATCCGAGTTCTGACGGCTGTCCGTAGTTGCTGCTGATGTTGGATCCGAACTCGGACGGCTGCCCGTAGTGCTGTCCGTACGCACCGCCATAGCTGGTGTAGGGGTTGTCGCTTTGCGGCATGCTGCCGGTGTTGGATGCTGTCGGGTCGTAGCTACCGTGCATCGCAGAGCGTTCGTTTGGATTTCTAAGCTCATCCGCCTCGCTCTGTTGGAGGAGAGCGTAGTCCTCATCGCGGTCGCCGCGAACTGAAGAGCCCATGCCGGCGCGAGACCGGAAGTCATCCTCCTCCTCGTCAAATTCGTGCGGGTTGGAAGAGAAGGCGGCCTTGCTTTGCGCGGCGAATGTCGGGTCGGAGACCGCATCGGGAAGAGTGCCCGTCCGACGGAAGTGCATGACATTGCGGAAGGACATGAAGGCGGTTACGATGAAGAGCAGGCTTTCGAGAGTGTTAGCTAGGGACAGGAATGACGAGCGACAACGACAACTTTGTACTCACAAGATAACGACCCCCATGATGACCGTGGCGGTGCTGACATTGCATTTGCTGGCGCTGCCGTACTTCCAGTTATCGCATCCGGTCTTCTTGTCACTATCCTTGTCCTTTTTCTTGTCATCATCCGACTTGCCCTCCGATTTACCCTGCGCAACGTAACTAGCGACACAAACCCAAGCGGTGAACCACAAAACAGCGTAGAAGCAATCGACGGTCGCGAAAGCGTAAACATTTCCGAAGCGCCGTGCGCGCGGCCACATGGGGACTGCGACGAGATAGATCAAACCGGGAATGCTGAACCAACACTGCAGAGGGGTTTAAACATTAGATGACAGGTCCAATAGTGTAGTCAGTCGGATGACTTACCAAGGCCCAATACCAGGCCGATCGTCCATCAATCCCATCACCCTTTGTGAAAACGGCGATGGTCAAGGCCCACGCCAGAAAAATCAACAATGCTTGCACTCCATGGATGATATTTTTTGTCCGCCCGGGATTGAAGGAAGGTCGTGCGAGTTTCATTTTCGTGGGATCAGGAGGGGAGAGGGGAGGGTGGTGGTGCCCGACGAAGTGCGCTTCCCCAGGAACAGGAAGGCCAGTGAGAGGGTATGAAGTCGGTCGTCAGGGGAATTCGTCGACTTCGATCGAGTGAGAAAGAGGTGTGAAGAGATCGCGGTCGAGTCTCGGGTCGAGAAGAGGAGGCCAACGGGTGGGAGAGGGCGTTTGCTGGCACGGAAGAAAGTGGTGGAATGAATTGTTTATGCGAAGGCAGTGAAAACCAGCGACGGGGCAACCCGATCGATGCCACGCGGACGCTAAGAGAGGCTAGCAGGGCCTCAGATGGGTCGGAGATAGATGGAAGCGATGACGAAGCCGCACGAGGGGGTCAGGATGACACCAAGTAGAGGACACAAAAAAGAAGACAAGCCCACGAGGCTGAAAAGATGGAAGAAAGATAGAGAGGAGAGAGAGAAGAAAGAAGAAAGGAAGAGGAAGTGGCCGATATCGAGGCGTGTTGTACCGTACGGTAATCCGGCCCAGAGTGGCTTAGGGCTGCGCTGGGCTGACTCAGGCATCCAGGCTGCATAACTAATCTGCACAATTCTCTCTCTTTCTGCTGTCACTTACTGTCCCCCGTAAGTAGGGCAGTGCAATCCACTGCCAAGAGACGACATCGTATCTGCCTATTGTTGGAACTGCGTCATTCAACTTTCAGGACAAGGCAACAGACTCTTCCATGGTTCCCACAATGCTGAATGTTTTTCTCAATAGGCCGAGGCCCCGGAAGACTCCTCTGCAAACTCTATCCACCGTGAACCGCACGGTATACGAGTCCATGATTATCGGTATTTGAACTACTATATTTAGTTGAACGCCGTTGGTCAGTTATGATGGAAGTTATGGCAGTTTAATTACCCTGAAAATTATACCATTAATTGACTTGATGTCATAATACGACTGAGTACTCGCAATTATTCCCCTTAATCCATCTCTATTTACAGTTAATCTACATAGAACAGACAAATTAATGACATCAAATAAACCAATCCCCCCAGCGTCAAATACCAAATTACCTTATTATTATCCCCATCAGCAGAATATGAACCAGGATGATGCTCAAACCCCGTTCTCCTGGAAACCAATCTATTCCGGGAAACACGGCAACGCCACCACTGCGTTAGTCCCTCGGCTTTGCTCCACCGATCTACACTCGTCGGATATACTCCTAGGGCATGTCCTCCGATTTGCCTACACAGTATGCGTGCCCAACAATTATTGGCAGATGATATACGGAGTAGAAAGAAATGATTATTCAGTTGAGAGGCCGTTGCTTTTAACAATATGCAGAAAACAATAAACAATGGTGATTATGCACGACAAGACGCCACCCGATGCTCCTTTATGTCATGTCATGCAAACTGATCCTCGACAAGTCTGGCCGCCGGAACAAATGGGGTAACATGATAACGAAATGGGAATGAATGAACAGACAGAACGAAACAAATACAGGCACAATGGTATCAGGCTTCTTTCACGTCAACCCCGCTCACAATCGATTCCAGCTCTCTCAACGGTTGGTAGACATGGGCATCCCACCACCACGGCAGCGGATCGTGGATTGAGAATCGCCAATCTCGCCAGAAAAGGAGGGCCTTTTCGGTACCGCTGATGATCGTGTCGATTTTTTGGGCCACAGGGTACAAGATGATGAAATTTCGGTCCTCGTCATGCTCCTTCAGCCTTTGATACAGACTGAATCTCGGACGAGGCGTCGTGGAAACAATGGACTTGGCCGCTTGAGTGCGCAGGGCGTCGACGGAATCGGACGTCATCACACCATTCAAATGCGGAGCCTCCACAGCCAGATACCCTCTAATGAGCTGCTCAGATGCATCTTGTAAAAGGTTGCTGACTGCGGCTGCGCCCTGCGTGCACCCGTTGATGTGAAGCGCATAACGCACGTGGCTGGTGTCGACTTCTTCATCCACCATGACCCGGACGCAGATGTGACCTGTCATTCGATATCCCCCTTTCGACGTAAACCGCTCCATCAGCCTGTGGATGGACATTGTGAGCCCCTCGTCCAGACGGGACTGACCCCAGGTCGATTGCTCATCCGCCGGGCGGACCTTGATCGCCTTGACATGTCCGTGGACCACAAGCATCTCGGCCAGGAACTCCCCCAGCCGACTCTGCTGCTGCAGGATCCACGGACTCTCTTTCGAGATCTGAATCTCGCTGACCTCCGAATAGGTCATACTCATCGTCCTCTTCGGCAATGTGATGATCTTGTTCTCCCTCGTGACAGGATCCGGTCGGGACATGCGATACGTCTTGGTCGGCGACCGATGCAGGATCTTATGGATCGAATCGCGCGACTGCACCTCCCGGTTCTCCACCACCGGCAGGTCCTTCTCGACCAAATACTGCTGGAACGTCCCTTGCCGACCGAACATGCTCGCTAATTCCGTGTCCAGCGTGATGCACTTGCACTCGGTCCTCCCCTCAATCACCTGCTTGGCCATCGCTTCGTCCAGCACCGATTCCTTCTCGGAACACGGCACCCACACGTCGGCCTTTTCGCGATTGATCACATCCAGCAGCCGAGCCACATACTTGGATTTCGGGATCCGGTAGAACGCCGCCAGCGCGTTCGACATGCTCTCGCCCGTCGGAATCGACGTCTCTGCGATATTCACCCCCACCACGCGGTGTCCTTGATGGGACCAGCACCGCGCGACGGCCAGCCCGTACGGCGTATCGACGCCCGTCACGACGACCGTCTTGGGGTAGAACTGGCCATCGCGCAGCGCGGCCTGGCGTCGTTGGATCGGGTCCGAGCGCGACAGTAGGAAGGAGAGATACCCCGCAGCGTAAGCCGCCAAGAGGATCGTATTGTTCAGCGGGAAGAGCAGCAGCGCGATGGCGATGTTGAACAGGTGCACGAGCACGCCGATATGGAGTCTGTCTCGTACGGAGCAGAGGGATCGCTGCTTGGAGATCGAACCGAAGGCTCGTCGGACCGTAGGGACGGACATGTTGCTATGTTGGATGTCGGCAGTCATTCATTCATCCAGTCGGTCAATCAGTCAGTTAGTTAAACACTCTGACACTGACACTCAAACACTCAAACACCACTTTAAGAGAGTCGGAAAGAGGGGGAGTTCACGGTCAAAATGACCGTGGGACTTTGTTGTCTGTTGACAAGTCTGGCTACCCCTCCGGAATGCTGCAAGGTGACCACGTCAGCGATGCATTACAGCATCACCCCCCTTTGAGCTGGCTGGGCTGAAACTTTTCCTTTGCTTTTTCCCCCCCTTCCTTTTCTTTTTATTTATCCATTTTCACATGTCAATCACCGTCCGCGCCCGTTCAAATTTAATTGAATGTTCCTTCAATCTCGCTCCCGTATACTCTAAAACTATAACACAGCAATCGAACAGGAACCATGCAAAGTGCAATTACCGGTACACGCCTGTTATGAACCATTTCATTCCACCTTCCACCTCAATCGAAGACAACGCGTCGCATGCTATATGCGAGCAACGCATCATACTATTGTTTACAACGTGGCTCAAAGAGATTTTCCAGCTACATATCCTTCAGCCTAGCGCTACAGCTAATGTGGATCTTGGTGCATACCAACTATAAGGTAACTTATCTGCACTGCCATGTGTCACTTGTTCCTGGTGCCTATTAGGCCTGGGTATGGGCTATGTCTGCCTGAAAGCCTCATATACCTCTTAGAATCATCCAGATAGCCAGAACATGGTTTGATGAAGATTAATCTCGTCTGCTGGCCATGCAGATAACTGACGACGACTGTATATATGCACAGAGCATTATCTTGATGATAAATCATGGTGCCTCTTCGCGTTCAATACTCGTGTGCGCATAACCTTATTTGAATGCTTCGATACTCTATCGCGATTCTTGCCCTCGTGACACCATACTACTGACAATTGGAGCAGCGCATCCAGTGAAATATCATTGATCATGAACCCTTTCCAATCTATAGCTTTGTTTCAATGAAACAAAGCTTGTATACAAGAGCTACCATAAAGATAAGGCCATGAAATTTAATACCTGCCCTCGCCTAGGTACCTACACTCCCTACAATCCGAATAAACGTTCCATTCCAGCCCGAATAGAACGAGAAAGAAAAATAACAAAGCATCTAAGCGAAGCCAGAAAGAGTCACCAACCGACTCAACATATCCTCTAGTAATTAATATGGTATCCGAGCAAAACACCTACAAAATACTGAATATGAAGCTATATCCCCTCCCCTACCTAACAAACTGCACAGCAGGTATTCACTCCACGTCAAATTAGATCAAAGTATCTATCTCCGAGAAGACCCTAAGAACCTAGACCTCGGGGATTAGAGATGATCGGAGATATGTGTGACTGTAAGATCTACAATACAATTTTAGGTAAGTAGCACCGACGAGTCGCGGATATTTATTCCAAGATTGACGTCGTAGTGCACGAACTATAAACCACCCTACGATCTAAGTTATAGCCGGGCATGCATGGAGTAGTATCTCCTATTTCCGAGGAGGATTATCTGTGGTTTGTAGTTGACTCACAAGAAGACTACTACACAGTACATCAATCCCTGGAAACATGATCCCGACACCGAATAATAATCCCTAGACAATGAGTCAACGATTCCGTACACAGTAAGACCGACAGCTAGATACATACCTTAGGTTACATCAATGTCTCGCCCGAACCAACCTCGGAGACAGCCCGATGGACGGATCCGGCAAACATCACCGAAAGGATCCATCCTCTCCCATGTCCATGTCCATATCCATAATCTACGGAGTACGGACAGATCTCTACCGGCGAGCAGTGACTGAAAGCATGGGTGCCACCAGCTACCCAGTAAACCATCTGATCCGCAATAAACCCTAGTCCCCAACAAGTAGACCAAATGACCAATCGACTTACCCACCGATGACCACATACTTCACCGGTGTTGGTCTATGTGGAGATGTGCGGAATTCCTGCGCTCGGAGTTATTGATAAGGCATTGACTGACTGATTGATAAAGGCTATAACTGACGGATCACGGTGACTGGGGTATAAGTATCTGGGTGTTTGGGTTGTCTACACATACTTTAATTTCTATCGACTGTTGTACCTGTTTACTTGTTATTGACCGAGTCTAAACACGCTGTACATACCTACTATCGAAATGGCTCAAGATAACACTTATACGGCGCCTCTTCATCCTCGGCCTGGCGAGTCGGTATGTTCAATTTAATCCTTCCTTCCTTCCTTCCTTCCTTTTTTTCCAATTTCGCTTTCCCGGGTTTCCTTTAGAGTTGATTGCCAGCTATCCATGATCGCAATGCTGACAATAACCACCATAGACCGAAGATAACCGCGAACTCAAACTCCTCCACTTCATCTACGACCAACCCAACCGCGACGAAATCCAAGACAACCCCCAAAAAGTCCTCGATTTGATCGACGAGTTCGCGACCCGCTACCGCTTCATGAACGTCGGCGCCGCAAAAGGCAACGTCGTCACACAGCTGATCGCAGAACGCAAACCCCAGATCATGATCGAGCTCGGCGGCTACGTGGGATACTCCGCGATCCTGTTCGGCGACGCGGTGCGTCGCGCCGGCGGACAGCGATACTACAGTTTAGAAGTGAACCCGGAGTACGCGGCGATCGCGAACATGCTGATCGAGCTGGCGGGACTGCGTGACTTCGTGCGCATCCTGGTCGGACGGAGTGATTTGAACCTTCATAAGCTGTATACCAGCGGGGCGGTCAAGCAGGTCGAGATCTTGTTTCTGGATCATTATAAGCCGGCGTACACGACGGATCTTAAGCTGTGCGAGCAGTTGGGTCTCATCGTTCCCGACGTGTCGGTTCTGGCCGCCGATAATGTCGTGTATCCCGGAAACCCGCCCTATCTAGAGTATGTGCGCAGCACGGTGGAGCAGAAGCGTGAGGCCGCCAAGAGTGGCCCTGCCCGCAGTTACAACACCGAGGGGATTCCCCAGCGCACGGTTCAGTCTTTCCTGGGGCAGGATGCCACGCCGCTGTTCGACATCACGGGGAATCCGAATCTGGTGTACACGAGTACCTTGGAGCAGCCGGAACGGTCTAATGTAAGTTTCTGCCACGGGTTATGTCCGAGGGGCGAGATGACCATGTTTTCTGACAAATTCTGTAGGACGCCGTTGAGGTGACTCGGTGTGTGGGGATCCAAGAGTAAAGGAAGGTCCAGGAACACTTGACCCCGATACTCTCTAGTTAAGCGATTGAACGAAAGAAGAATGGATTAGTAAAGAGTGGGGGAAAGGGAGCATCGTTTAGCCACTTCGGCAGGGAGTCTCGCCGTCGTTGCTAAATGGCAAATGCTAAGGCCGAGAAATCGTCATCGGAGGGGCCGGAGAGAGAAAACCGAGCCGGCGCAGAAGTCGGCCTTTGACGCCCCGCCCGAGCCAAAGGTTCCCGTCGCCAGGACCTTCCCCCGCACCCTCGACTCTTCTACGGAGGCCAGACACGGACTCAGCTAGTCTACGCCGTTTTTCTGTACATAAATCAAGAGGATCCCGCTAGTTCTTGTTTCTTCCGATTGTATTTCCCTGTGTCAATTCTATTGTTTAGTCTCTCACCATCGATTCATCCATTATGGCCTCCAAGACCTGGAATGTCGGTGTTGTGGGGTACGGCTTCAGTGCCAAAATTTTCCACATCCCCTTTGTCCAAGAAGTGCCCCAGTTTAAGCTCTACGCTGTCGTGCAACGTACGCCCAAGCCCGACGACGATGCTGAGAAGGACCACCCTGGTGTCAAGTCCTACCGCACGACCGAGGACTTGGTCAAGGATAACGGCGTGGACGTGGTGATCATCACGACGGCTCCTGACTCGCATTTTAGCCTGGCGAAGCTGGCGCTGGAGAACGGAAAGCACGGTGGGTTTAGCGTCGTTTCTGTAGCTGTTGAAGTCAAGTTCTTGCGCTGACGATTTGGGCATCACAGTGATTTGCGAGAAGCCCTTCACCCCCACTTCCCAGGAAGCCGACGAACTCGTCAACATCTCGAAGAAGCACAACAAACTGTTGGCGGTTTACCAAAGTACGTCTACCTGAGTGGTTTCATGTTGCTGAAGATCATCGCCTAATCTCGGAGCTGTACAGATCGTCGGTGGGACGCGGACTTCGTCACCCTCTCGAAACTGGTGAAGAACGGATCGCTGGGCCGCCTGGTGGAATTCGAGACTCACTTCGATCGTCATCGCCCCCAGGAGCCGTCTTCTGACGCGCACAAGTGGAAGAACAAGGTTATCCCCGGCGGCAGCGCCATCTATGATTTGGGAACCCACCTGCTGGACCAGGCCGTGCACCTGCTGGGATTGCCCGACCGCATCACCGGCTTCATTGGCTCGCAGCGCGAGGTCAACACTTCTGGCTTTGAGGACTCGTTCACCGTCTTGCTGCACTACAAGCAGGGCCTGCTCGTCACGGCCAAGGCGGGTGTCGTCAGTCCCGAGGAGGAGCAGTTGAGATTCTGGGTCCGCGGAGAGAAGGGTAGCTTCAAGAAGGTAGGCATATCCGGCACGGAAGTCATGCGACATCCATACAAATGGAACGGCCTAATAACTTATCATCTGAACAGTTCCATCTCGATATTCAGGAAGATCAGCTCAAGGAGGGAGTGAAGCCCGGTGATAGTGGATATGGTCGGGAGCCGAGTGAGAGATACGGTAAGCATATCCCAGCCAGAGAGAACTCCACGTGTTAGAAGCGACACATTGCTGACTTCATCGGCAGGCGTCCTGACGACCATCCAAGACGGCAAGCCCGTCAGAGAGGTCGCTCCTACGGTGGAGCCGCCTACCTACACCGAGTACTTCCGGAAGTTCGCTCGGGCTCTCGCTGGGGAGGGCGACCTTCCTGCCAGTGCTGCCGAAGCGCGCGACGTGATTCGGTTGATCGAGCTGGCGAAGGAGAGCTCCAAGACCGGCCGGACATTGGATGTTTAGAAGGATAATTTCGATATAGAACATGTTAAATGAGAATGATATTATGAACTCAATTCTTTTCTGATTGATTGCACTCGGCCGATCATTTGGTTTACCTGCATATGGAGTAAGAGTTAATGCTGTACAGAATGTCCACACAGTGCAGTCGAGTACCTGCGAAGACCCTGGCAGACCTGGACCGGGACGGTAACCAAGGGTACCCCGGATTGATCGGCGGCGTGATTCTGCCGTCTTCCGTTTCGAATTCTTACGATCGCGCAGAATTACGGGGCTAATACACACGTGACGCCAGCACCGCCCGGGCGGAAGCGGCCATCGGGGTGTTTTGCGTACCACGGAGTAATCGCGGGTTTTATTACCGCGACGGTGGTGCTCCACAGGGCCAGGACTAGACCGCATCGGGAGTTTCTCTTACTCAATGCAAATCGTGTGAGTGGCAGACTGCGTCCAGTCTCCTTCATCTTTTCTCCTGGGGATTTCGCAACGGACGCTCCATTGTTAGGGCTGTCAGGCTCGCTGTCTGTGCTGCTTTCCGCGGAGATGCTCACTCCTCTGCCCGGCTGAATGGGGACCAAAAAAGGAGGGCCCAGTTCTCTTGCCGTCTTTTCCTTTTTTCCCGTCTGTTTTACTATGCGACATAAATGGCTGTGATGTCGGAATTCTTAAAGTCTGCTGCGTTCCCCCCTCAATCCTTGGAGTAGCAGGATGTTGCAGCTCATAGACGCCTAGCTAGTCGCAGCTGGCCTGCTGATTCTTGGGCACTATAAGGCTCCGGACTCCTGACTCGATCCTGTCTGTCCCTATTGGAATATCTAGGTACTGAAAAGGGCTACACAGTCCCTGTCCCCTGGCCCTGATCTGTCCAACTTCGCCTGGTCCGACCACTCTTTCATTCTGAAGATACCCACCTCGTACCTATACTTCCGGAGTCAACATGTCCAAACACGTCGATTTCTCCCGTTGGCATATAGACTTAGACGCCCATATCAACCCTTACATTCCGGCGCCCCCGTGGCGATGGCTCCCTCGGCCCATCTCCCATTTCCTCGGATACAGAGGTGACAAGCCTCCCAAGAGTCTGGGGAACCTGGTCCTTGCATTCTGGTCCCTCATCGGCGTCTTCTGTGGCGTGCTTGTCGTGGCCGAGGTGTCGGAACACGTCCCCTCTTTTCAACATCACAATGTGCCGGTCATCGTAGCTAGCTTTGTACGTCTTCTTCCCCCTTCCGCCCTTCCTCTTTCCCTCCTTCCTACATTCCAGCAAACCAAGATTCTGTATACTAACCGACAACTTCCAGGGCGCCGCCGCAGTCCTCGAATTCTCCGTCATAGAGTCACCCTTCGCACAACCCCGAAACGCCGTCCTCAGCCAGGTCTTCGCCAGCGTCATCGGCATCGGCATCGGAAAGCTCTTCGCCCTGAACCCCAACGCCCACTCCAAACCCCAGCTCGGAGGCGCCCTTTCCTGCGCCATCACCACCGCCCTCATGGTCCTCACGAATACGGTACATCCGCCCGCCGGCGCAACCGCCCTCCTGGCTGTCACCGAAGGGTATCCTATCGGCTGGTGGCTCATCCCGATCATGGTCCTGGGCTGTGTCATGATGCAGGCTGTCGCACTGGTCGTGAATAACATCCAGCGACGGTTCCCCGTGTATTGGTGGACCGCCGTGCCTCTTGGTAGACCGAGACACAGAGATCCGGAGGTTGGGGGCTCGGATGGGCACGAGAAGGAGACGGAGAAGAAGGAGGGCCACGGACCGGAGAGTTCGTCGAATAGTGCCCTGACTGATACCGAGTCCCAGATGCAGATCGTCATCCAGGAAGGTAAGGTCCTGGTGTCCGATAATATGTGGGTTACGGCGGAGGAGATGGAGGTGTTGGAACGCATCAGTAGACGGATACAGTAATATTCTTTACATTGTACAGTGCCTAGGTACTTTGTACACTTTTTATGCTTGTAATGCTTGTTTTGTTATGTACACAGTTATCTCACGTGGAATATAGCAATATACCTAGATAATGACTCGATCTCATATACCCGATGATGGAAATACCTTACCAAACATATAAAGTTAGATTGATAGGTTCTTAACCCCTCTACCCAGGACATACAACCCCAGAATATCCATCCTCGGAAATATGCCTCCGAGGAGTCCTATCCCCTACCCCCTCAGCAAAGAATGCACGCACCACATACCAGACACCGTAATTAGACCCTGACCTGAACTAGACAGGTACAGCTCCCTAGCCCCACGCGAAAAAAAGCGGGATTTCCCACATCCACTCGATAAACTTGTAAACAAGCCTTTTCAGGGTCCCCCTTGCATATCACCCGGAGGAGGTCTGGACCCGTGCATCGCCCGCCAACTCCGCGGAGTACATACATACCTTCATCCCGTTAAAGGCACAGACTGGCATGCCATGTGTTTTCACAGAGTGTTTTCTTTTTTTTTTTTTCTTTTTTTTTTTGTGCGATTGGGTCTGGTGATGAGTGAGTTGTGAGGGATTTTCGATAAGGGTTGCTTGCATTCTTGGGGGGTTTGTTACTTGTGTGTCCATACAGACATGGCACTGTAGATTGGTGAGGATTTGGGGCTTATTGTGTTTCGATGGGTATGGTGGGGACCGATAGCACAGGCAATGAAGTCAATGGGTGATATTGATAATATTATTCATGCTTTGAGGAATTTCATGTCGGTGTTGAATCCAGTACATCGCCCCTTCCCTCCCTTCCGGATAAAGTGTCGCGGAAGTAGTAGTATCTATTATGAAATTTCACTCCCCGAGTCAAGAATGCAATCTAACGGACTTTGAAATGTCAGCAGACAGTCCCCTTCCGGCAAATACTCGGTTCTGTCTCGGCATGTTAATAAATGCCTCACGAGACAAATCTGACAAATGCAGCTGATATCACACCGGGCAGCAAGCATACCCACATCTACATCGGGATGAAATTTAGACTGTACATACAATCCGTCATGTCACATTGTCTTGGCGAGGAAGCTTGGATGCTCATCCCTCGGAGATATTATTTGCTACATTCGTTGAATGTGTTGGGGGGTGTGGTTCCTTGCATGATGCAGATTAGATTAGCCATTGAATTGTAGGAATTAACTAGGTAGCTAATTAAGCTCGGACGAGCGAATTTACCACTGACTGGGTAGATGGAGGTATATCTGTTGTGGTGTTTTGTGCTCTGTGTGAGTTGTTGGGGATAGATTGTTCTGGAATGAATTGTATATAGTAAGCACAGGGGTTTTGGTATATAGACCAGCTCCAGATCTCTATCCAGAAGAGCTAGGGCCTATGTGTAATTTTCTACAGAGATGAGGTGCAGAACTGTCATGTCTTCTTCGTGCGTAGAAGTGTTCGGAAGACATCTATGGTAACAAACCCGAAACCACACATCAAACTGGCCTAGTTCTAGTACTCTGCTGGGAGACTTCGGCCGATCAGTGCTACGTGCGATATATCGAACATCACAAAGGGCTGGTGAACCTTAATATATAACATTCAAGGTACTATCTATGTACTATCGAAAGGAGTACTTGTGCTGCATTCCGCTGACCTTGTGCAGTCGAAGATCGTATACATAAACTTTCAGCCACAGTGTAGCTGTCATAATTAAGATATAGACATTTATTAATAACACCTGCTATAGATATAAATAAGCTAAGGTTTGATGTGCCTTGGGCTAGTTTAAACCACATTAATACACATTAAACCGGTGGTAACTCAGACTCTGACGCTTCACGCTGCGATAGAACTTGCGTAGCCATGATTCATGTAACTAATCATGGCTTGTTGATTGGTTTTTCTGCTGTGGAAGGGGTTGGGTTTACTATCCGCACGGTGCAATTCCTGGACTGTGAGTGAGGGTTGTAACATCTTGATGTTCGGTCTGACATCTGCATTGTTGTCCATTGATGCCCTGGGCGTAAGGCTACAAATCACGTGTTGTTGATGCCCAATGAGGCTAGGCTGCGCCACGACCCGTGCGGTGACGTAGACCAGCCAATCCCAACGAGTCTGGGCGGCCCACTGAAAGGAATTTTTGAGGCCCATCAGTTTTTTTTGCTCAGCGTCATCCACAATCTCTTTCATCTCTCTCCCTCTCCCTCTCGCGGTCTTTTCCTTCATCTTCATCATCGGCGTGGCGGTATCGTTATTGACTACCGTTCCATTTCACCGCAGTTTTAATCACCGCGGGTCCCTTCGTAGCTGCCGGAAATTTTCCTACTCATCCAACGAGTGGATCAGTATTTCAAAGGTCCTCGCTCTCTATCGATAAGGGCTTTCCAAGGAACTTTTCGCCCTCCCCACTCAGAAGCCTCTCGGTCGCCCCCTCCCACCCCGCTATTATCGATCCACCTTTGTCGAGAGTTCTCTTTTTAATTTTTCCCTTTTTCGCCCTCGCCTTCGTCAGGCTTTTTTTTCTTGCCTTCTATCGCACCCGTTTTTCTTCCTCACCTTTCCTTCCCGCTCTCCTACCCCTCTGATCCTCCCCCCCCCCTCTCCCCTCCCATTAATCCTCCATATTTACCGGCAAAATGGTGTCTGCTTCGAAAGCCGCTCGTCTCGCAAAGCGCGGTGACACCAAGAAGAAGGCCAAGGGTGATGAGACTCCCGTCGAGGACCAGCCCGCGACCACCGATGAGAAGATGAAGGAGGTCGAGAAGCTCACAGCCCAAATGGACAAGCATGGTCTGTCTGACCGTGTCACCACCGGTGTGCTTTCCTCCCTGCCTGCTTCTCGTGACGCCAAGGTCACCTCTGCCTCCCTGGTGTTCCACGGAAAGGTCCTTATCACCGACTCGACTCTGGAACTGAACTTCGGTCGTCGCTACGGTCTGCTGGGTGAGAACGGTTGCGGAAAGTCCACCCTTCTCAAGTCCATCGCTCAGCGTGAATTCCCCATCCCCGAGCACATCGATATCTACCTCCTGAACGAAGGTGCCCCTCCCACCGACGATGGTGCCCTCGAATGGGTCGTCAAGGAGGCCGAGAGGCAACTCGAGCGTATGGAGCAGCAGGCCGAGGAGATCCTGGAAGACCAGGGTCCTGACAGCCCCGTCCTCATGGACCTGTACGACGTAAGTTCTCTCCCATATCTGTGACTTCTGGTGAATTTCCAGATCATCGACTGACTCGTTCCCCCCAGCGTATTGACAAAATGGACCCTTCCACCTTCCACACCCGTGCTTCCCTGATCTTGACGGGTCTCGGTTTCAACAAGCAGACCATCAACAAGAAGACGAAGGATATGTCCGGTGGCTGGCGTATGCGTGTCGCCCTCGGAAAGGCCCTGTTCGTCAAGCCGTCTTTGCTCTTGCTGGACGACCCCACTGCTCACTTGGATCTCGAGGCCTGTGTGTGGTTGGAAGAATATATGAAGAAGTGGGACCGTACTCTGGTCCTTGTCTCTCACTCCATGGATTTCCTGAACGGTGTCTGCACGAACATGATTGACATGCGCGGGAAGCAGCTCCTTTACTATGGTGGTAACTACGACTCGTACCACAAGACCCGTAGCGAACAGGAGGTCAACCAGATGAAGGCCTACACCAAGCAGCAAGAAGAAATCGCCCACATCAAGAAGTTCATTGCTTCCGCCGGTACCTACGCCAACTTGGTCCGTCAGGCCAAGTCCCGTCAGAAGATCCTCGACAAGATGGAGGCCGATGGTTTCATCCAGCCTGTCATCCCCGACCGAGTCTTCACTTTCCGTTTCGCGGACGTTGAGAAGCTGCCTCCCCCCGTCCTGTCCTTCGACGACGTTTCCTTTTCCTACTCCGGTGAATGGAACGACACTCTCTACGAGCACCTAGACTTCGGTGTCGACATGGACTCTCGTACCGCCCTGGTCGGACCTAACGGTGTCGGCAAGTCCACCCTTCTGCGTATCATGACCGGCAAGCTGAGCCCCATCGGTGGCCGTGTCAGCCGTCACACCCACTTGAAGCTGGGCATGTACAGCCAGCACTCCGCCGAGCAGCTGGATCTGACCAAGTGCGCCCTGGAGTTCGTCCGTGACCGATTCCCCGAGAAGTCCCAGGACTACCAGTACTGGCGTCAGCAGCTCGGTCGCTACGGTCTCACTGGTGAGGGCCAGACCGCTCTGATGGGTACTCTCTCCGAGGGTCAGAAATCTCGTATCGTGTTCGCCCTGTTGGCCATCGAGTCGCCCAACATGATCCTGCTGGACGAGCCTACCAACGGTCTCGATATCCCCACCATCGACAGTTTGGCTGACGCCATCAACGCTTTCAGCGGTGGTGTTGTTGTCGTGTCTCACGATTTCCGTCTGCTCGACAAGATCGCCAAGGACATCATGGTCTGCGAGAACAAGACCGTCACCCGGTGGGATGGTACTATCGGAGCTTACAAGAACCATCTCCGCAAGAAGATGATTTCTGCTGGTGCTGTCTAAACTTTTCCATCCGGAAAAGAAGACTGAAGAACAAGAAAAAAACAAACAAACTTACATATTGTTATGATTGGAATGTTAGAGATGACAATGAACATATATGAAGAAAAAAAGCCGAAGCAAAAAACAATACTGTAGGGAGGAAGAAAACCAAAATTTTTTTTAACGGCATACAGGGAAGATGGGAGAATTTGGCTGACGTTGATGTTGATGTTGATGAAACAAATGTTTGGAACAGGCGGGCTTTCCTTGTGACCAATTTTCGTTCTATTTTCTTTTTTTCTTTTTTTCTTACTGGAAGATATCTTGCTCGTATTTCTTTTTTGGGTGTCTCTTTTTTTGTTGTTTTAGATGGACTCTACTTGTTTCATACCTACTTCATTTTCTTAGACCCGAGCGTTTTTCAGGGTTGAATTTGATTCCTCTTTTCTCTTTTTATCTTCTCTTGTGTTCGGTCATCGGTTTTCTTTTGGGTTATAGACGGTTGCGGTTTTTTTTGTAGAGATTTTTTCTTTTTCTATATATATCCAAAATCTTCCGTGGGGTCTGTCCGTCTTGACGTCATCTCATACTTATCTATCTAGTCCAGGTGGCACATAGATGCTAAAACATTTCTTTGTCAATGGAATAGATAGAGCGTTATCATATCTACGTGATCAAGGATTGGTTAGTGTTGGTTTTTTGTTCTATCCTGTAGGTAACTAGTTGGCTATTTACATAATGCCTAGTATTGATAAACGTACAAGCTACGAGGACTGTTTAATAGAATAGTAGGAGGTATCTTGCAGGTATTGTGCGTATATTTCGTTGGTCCCTCTTTGGCCATGTATGCATGACAACTTCACTTTGATGCTCTACTGAACACATAGAAAAAAGCACTGGAGTTATAATAGACCAATATGATACTCCGTACGTATTATACTCTATGTAGTTAATATAGTATTATTGCTGCATACTATGACTCCCCTCCTTGGTTCTCTGCGCAACAAGCTCCCCCCCAAACAAGTCATTCCCCATTTTCTCCTTCTGCTCGCGCTCCAACTTCCGCTTCTTCGCTAGCCGCTCCATCTCGCTCTCCGAGGTCCCAGGGTCCCCATTGCTCGCTGCACCTCCTGCCGCCGACGCCGCGACCGGGATGCGTTTCTGGCCCGCCAGGTTGACTTTCTCCGGGGCAGGGTTCTGGCAATGATACAGTTTCTTGCCGATGCGGCGGAGGTTCTTTTTCTGGTCTGGGTCGGACGCGAGAGGCGTGTAGGATTTAAGGAGGGCGGAGCAGTCGTTGAGCGTGCGGATGAGTTTGGTGCGGAGGGCGTAGAGTGGGTTTCCCTCCTGTTGAGAGAGGAGGGGTCCGCCGAGTTTCGTGTCGAGGTAGAATTCGGTGAGGGGGCGGTCGGCGAGGAGGAAGGCGGAGAGCCAGATCTGCGAGGGCGTGTAGAGGAAGTATGCGTCTGTCATCTGGGCGGCGGATTTGAGGAGTTCGCGGGTCGTCGTGTGCGCGCGGGCGAGGCGATCGTTGATCGAGGAGGGCTGGTGGGTGGATTGGGAGGGGGGTAGGGAGAGGATTTGGCGACGGAGCTCGTCGGCTGTTTGTTGGGGGAAGTGAGGTGCTGGTTGCCCGAGGCCTTGCGCCATTGCTTGGAGTTCCATGATGCCGCCTTCGAGGCCGCGGAAGGGGTGCCGCACGTCGAAGGTGAAGCGTAGGCTTTGCATGACGAGGAACTCGGGCGCGATGATGTCGTCTGCGGTGGTCTCGCCGGGGACAACCTCGGCGAATTGGCGCAGCGAGAGGTAGTAGTTGTCTGTCTTTGTGGCGAGGAAGAGCGCGCATGGCATGATGGTTTTGGGGTGGTAGGTCATGGGGGAGTTGGTGAGGTAGAAGCGTCGGAGGTATTGGATTGCGGTGGCCTGTGGTATAGACGGGTTAGGGAATTTGATGCTGGAAGAAGAGACAAAAAGAGCTGTGAGTATTGACGTACCCGAACTATCGTGGGAAGCGGCGGCTTATAGCCCTCTCCTAGCTCAACGAGCTGTTCGCAGAAATATCGCACCAGCACTTGCTCCTCCTCCGGTGTCAAACACTCGACATCCTTTTCCTCTCCGGCTTTGCTGTCCGCATCGCTGCCGTTGGGATTCGGCGTGCCTGCTGCCGACGAGGCGGCCGATTGGCGATTATCTCGCGCCCTGCGCAAGGCAGTTCGTACGCGGTCGCTGGCAAGGGAATTGGTTTTGGCCCGCAGGGTTTGCAGGGACGTTTCGGTGAATGACCAGAATCGAAACTGGGATGAGGACCGGTAGAAATCGTCCTCGATCATGGTGGCGCGCTCACCGTGGTGGCAGTGGGTTTCTAATTAAAGGCGGAGCTGAGAGTAGAGAATCGGATATTGAGAAGAAGACAAGTTCTGGCGAGACGTTGGGTGGTTTTTATTGAAGCTTGTAGGAAGTTGAAAGGACAAAGGTGAGCTCGGCGGAGAGAATAAAAAGCGGCGGAGTTCGTCGGGGGATCCACGTGCTTATCGATACGCGCCGGCAAATCTACAACCAAATGCTTCCAACGATTTCAGCGTCATAATTCATTGCTATGCTTAAACCGCTCATAAACTGTTGCTACAAACATTACCAACGAGAAACCAGAGAGGTGGAATGATCAAAAAGAAAACAAAAGAGGAGGGAAGAACATGAAACAAAGAAAAAAAAAAATGAAAATAAAAATAAAATAAGACAAATGCAAATAGAGGGTTGGAAAAAAATATATAGATGAAAGTTAAATGAGATCAAGAAAAAGGGACGACAAGTCATGTCATGCCAGACTCTCGGATGCAAACCAGCAGGTCCCTCACGGCTCACCCAAGAGCCGTGCAGTGACGTCGCCCATGTAAGCTTCCTCCAACTCGTAATCCTCGCCGTCGTTTCGGTCGATGCCGTAATGCTTGAAGGCCGAAACGACGCGGTCCACGTCAAAGCCCATACTGCAGAATCGATCGATCAAGTCCTTGTTATACCCATCATACCTGCAACAAATGTTAGCACGGATTTCCCACCAAACGCAAAGGGGACAACGTACTTGGCCAAATCTTCCTTTGCTCGATCCTCCTTGAACTTGAGTTCCTGCAGACGGAGCGACTCGTCGGTGGCTCCGCCGCTCCCTTCTCCTCCCGGTCTCTTGGGGGCTCCCGCGTGGAGCCAGGCCCATTCCTGAGCCTTGCGCTCATAATCCTTGGGCTTTTGGAGGAGCATTGTCGCAACCTCCCAATCCTGAGGGTCTTTCGGCTCCGGCGTGCTCAGCAACGACTGGAGCGACAAGAGAGCTGACTTGATTGTGAGAACCGGCGACCACGCCGTCCCAAGAGTATCCAGGCAAATGGCACCCTGCAAATATCATGAGCCCAGTATCCCGACATGATCGCATGCCCAAGCAAAGGGACGGGGAGGGGGACTGACCGTTTGGCTGCTGACGTTCGGATGCCATACCTTGGTCTCGAACTTCATTAGGGGCGGACGAAACGGATAGTCTGTAGGGATTCGGATGTCGATCTTATAGGTACCACCCTCGTACGGAGTGGCCGGGGGTCCGGGAAATGAGCCTCGAAGATGCGTGATATCCTCGTCATCGCCCACCGGTTCCACCGTGACATGCGAAAGGGTATCGGCATGGATATCGGCGATTTCCTTTGCGATGCGCCGGCCGCGATTGGAAGCCATGAGGGGTGGAATATACGGCGAGGGTCTGCTAAGGGTTGGAAGAATACGGTATACAGGGAATGAGGGTCAAAAGATGACTCGAAACAAGAGGGCAACCCGAAGCTATTGTTCAGCTACAGGGTCATGTAGTCAGCTTTGATATTCTCTATGGAGCACGACTCGGGAATAAACACAAAGCGGGACGGGTTGGAGGGGAAGTTAGAAGAAAAGAACAGAAAAAAAGTAAATATGAGCTGGCAGCCGAGAAGGTGATGCGGGAAGAGCCTCACCTATTCGGGGGGGGGGACGAAGGGGAAGATGAAGGATGAGGAATGAGGAATGAGGCGGGGAATCAGAGATCAATAGATCGGAGATCAAGAAGGAGCGGGCGGTTGGTTTTCTATTTACAGAGTCGAGGTCAACATCGGCGCCTAAAGAGGCATCTTCCAGCAGAATAGAGTAATAACGGGTGTTAATTATGTTAATTACGGAGTAACTCAGTAACTAAGGGTAAACTAAAAAGACCTGAAGAGTCGGTCCTCTGGTCAGGCACCCAGGCAGACAGATCACGTGCAGCTATGACAAAGCGACCAGCACCAGCTCCCAGCTCGTCGTCGTCGTGGTCGCCGCCAGCTCCCATCCCATCCTTGACCCGGATTCCGTCCATCTATCTGCCCCTTCTTTTTCATTTATCTATTCCATTTGAACTCGTTCCTGTCATTCCAGGTTCTCTGTCGATTACTTCTTCTGTTTCTATTCCTCCACATTCAGGACAATGGTAAGTGCCCAACAACGTCGTCATAGCCTGCTCGGCTTGCCGTCCCTTCAGGCTGACATATCTTTTGCACCAGGGTAACCAGCAGTCCAACATCAGTGGAGGCCCCGGGGGCGATGGAAGAGATGACAAGGACAAGAAGGTAATGCCAAACGATTGTGATCATTATCACCTCGAGCCCTGTTCGCTGACCAACTTCCTCGTGCAGAAGGACAAGCCCAAGTACGAGCCGCCTCCACCACCGACCACTCGCATCGGTCGCAAGAAGCGCAGAGCTGCCGGTCCCAGCACTGCGGCCAAGCTCCCCGATATCTACCCCACGTCACGATGCAAGCTACGATATCTCCGAATGCAACGAGTCCATGACCACCTATTGCTGGAAGAGGAGTACGTGGAGAACATGGAACGCCTGCGTAAGACCAAGGCGCAGGCGACGCAGGATGCCAACCGCGGCGACTTCGATATCATGGACCGGAACGCCGATGAGAGAGGCCGAGTCGATGACATGCGAGGCAGCCCCATGGGCGTGGGCAACCTGGAAGAGCTGATTGACGATGACCACGCCATCGTCTCGAGTGCCACGGGCCCCGAGTACTACGTGTCTATTATGTCTTTCGTCGACAAGGATCTGCTCGAGCCTGGCGCCAGCATTCTCTTGCATCACAAGTCGGTGTCGGTTGTCGGTGTGTTGACGGAAGAGTCCGACCCGCTCGTGTCGGTGATGAAGCTCGACAAAGCGCCCACGGAGTCGTACGCGGATATCGGTGGTCTGGAGCAACAGATTCAGGAAGTTCGAGAATCCGTCGAGCTGCCGCTGCTTCACCCAGAGCTGTACGAGGAGATGGGTATCAAGCCGCCCAAGGGTGTCATTCTCTACGGTGCGCCGGGTACCGGAAAGACGCTACTTGCGAAGGCCGTTGCAAACCAGACCAGTGCCACTTTCCTCCGTATTGTCGGTAGTGAGCTTATCCAGAAATACCTTGGTGATGGCCCGCGCTTGGTGCGACAGATTTTCCAGGTTGCTGCGGAGCACGCCCCGTCTATCGTGTTCATCGACGAAATCGATGCCATTGGTACGAAGCGTTACGAATCGCAGTCGGGTGGTGAACGAGAAATTCAGCGGACCATGCTTGAATTGCTGAACCAGCTGGACGGTTTCGATGACCGTGGTGATGTCAAGGTCGTCATGGCCACCAACAAGATCGAGACCCTGGATCCTGCCTTGATCCGTCCTGGTCGTATTGACCGAAAGATTCTCTTCGAGAACCCAGACCGTAAGTTCCACTGACCCTGCCTGTTTTCGTACAACTGTGCTAACTTGACCCAGAAAACACGAAGAAGAAGATCTTTACGCTGCATACCTCGAAGATGTCCCTCGGCGACGATGTCGACCTCGACGAGTTCATCAACCAGAAGGACGACCTTTCTGGTGCCGATATTCGTGCCATCTGTACCGAAGCCGGTCTGATGGCCTTGCGAGAACGCCGTATGAGGGTCCAGATGGACGATTTCCGTGCCGCCAGAGAACGAATCATGAAGACGAAGCAGGATGGTGGTCCTGTCGAGGGACTGTACTTGTAGGTGCGACAGGAGGAGAGTGTACCTACGTTTAGTTTAGATGGAGCTACTACGTTTAGGGTAGAAATTTATCATGGATGTATTCTAATGCAAATGGCCCATACACATAAACATAAACTCTTCTCATCCCCGTAGTCATGGATGTCTTGGCATGACGATGGTTCGCGCAGGTCAAACAGTGCAAACATCCCCAACCGTGCAAACATCACTACCGCGCAAGTCGGGTCCAGAATAATCTACTCTCTACAACTATAACGCAGAGACCACAATGGACAGTTTCGACGAGGAAGCGTTCAAGAAATTCTTCCCAACTAGCTTTGGGAAACAAGGAAAAACTACCAACGTTAACGCTCAGATAGATGTGTCGAAGCGGGCAAACATTTCCGTCAAGCCGGTTGAAGGTGAACAACCAGGCCTAGTCGGAGACGCTGAGACGGACACCAAATCTGACGCAGAACTGAAGAAAGACATTGACAACGATGATAGCGACGACGATGATTCAGATGACTCCGACGACGATTCCGATGACGAGGACGAGTTCCCCGTCTCCCACGAGCTGCTTCTCAAAACCCATGACCGAGCCGTGACAACGTTGACGGCCGACCCGTCCGGGTCGCGACTGATAACAGGCTCGACCGACTGCTCTGTGAAACTCCATGACTTTGCGTCCATGACGCCGTCGACGGTGCGCGCCTTCAAATCCGTCGACCCCTCCGAGAAAAAGAACTCCGCCGCCCAGGAAGCGCACGCCGTGCATTATGCCGCCTTCAATCCTCTGTCGCCGAGCTACGTTCTGGTCGTTACCGCGACGCCGCAGCCCCGAATCTTGAATCGCGATGGAGAAGTGGTCACCGAGTTTGTCAAGGGAGATATGTATCTGAGGGATCTACACCATACCAAGGGCCATGTTTCGGAGGTGTCCAGTGGAGCGTGGTCGCCTACGGACGAAAACCTGTGCGTCACCGCGGGATCGGACAGCACGGTCCGCATATGGGACGCCAACGTCGGCCGGTCCCAGAAGGAGGTCATTGTTCATAAATCGAGGGTCGCTGGATCCGCTGGTCGGAGCAAGATGACCGCCGTTTCATGGGGCTCGCCGAAGCAAGGAGGTCCTAACGTGCTCGTTGCCGCTGCCCTGGATGGTAGCTTGGTGATGTGGGGTGGAGATGGACCGTTTACGCGGCCTAGCGGTGAGATTCGGGATGCGCATACTCGGGATACGTGGACGAGTGGCATCGACATCAGCGTCGACGGGCGACTTGTGATCACCAAGGGCGGCGACGACACCATCAAACTCTGGGATACAAGGAAGTTCAAGCAGCCCATCACGACTGTCGCGCATCCTTCCAGTTCGTTCCGATACCCCACGTCTAATATCGTCTTCTCGCCTACGTCTGCGAACGTCCTCACAGGGTCGGAAACCGGCCACCTGCATATCTTGAACCCGGCTACGTTGAAACCGGAGCTGGTCACGCCAGTCACCCCTGGGTCGCCTCTGATCACCGTTCAGTGGCATGAGAAGCTCAACCAGATCATGACCGGCTCTGCCAATGCGGAAACCCATGTACTCTACAACCCCAACACCTCCACCAAAGGTGCCGCCATGGTCATGTCCAAGGCACCCAAGCGCCGTCATATCGACGACGACCCGAACCTCACCATGGATCTCACTCAAGGGCTGTCGGGAGATTCTATCGTCACCGGATCGAATGGCATACCACATTATAGCTCGTCTACTCGGGCCTCGCGACACCCGAATGTTGGCATGACACACTCTGGTCGGCCCAAGGATCCCCGACGACCCCATCTGCCGGCCCAAACGCCATTTGCGAAGTCGCAGCCGGATGAGAGGCATATCCGGGAGAACATTCCACTTAGTTCCATGCGTGACGAAGATCCGCGAGAAGCTCTGTTGAAATATGCAGACAAAGCCGAAAAGGACCCGGTCTTCACCAAGGCGTGGAAGGAGACACAGCCGAAGACGATCTATCGGGAACTCAGCGACGATGAGGAGGAACCGGAGAAGAAGAAAGCGAGGCGGTAATTTGCCACAAATATCATGTACTATGGAATGAAATCTTTTTAATTTCTGTGTCATTAGTTATTATAATGCCTGGTGTATATAGGGAGAGTATATCGGCACAACAACCGGAAAACTACAGTGCATGTAGATCCTCACGACACGTGTCCTGCGATTGCTACGAGGCTCCTTACCGGCGGCAAATGCAGTCAGCAGATACTAGTAGTTCGTCTATAGACTCGCCATGAACTCCTTCTGTTGCCAATATCAATGCTCGATGACGTTGGACACGCGGGGTGGAGCCGATCAACAGGCGTGGGTTTAGGGCGCCCCCCATTCTCCCCGAAGGCCAATGAGGCTCCGTCGCTGCTCGTTCTTCATCGCTTCTCCTCCGACTTGGATCTTCCTCCGGTTCTTCCTGGTCTCCCCCTCCCCTCCCATCCATCATGTTGCGCTTGGACTCTCCCTCTCCATCTTCCCTGCACGTGCAACCGTTTGTGTTTTAGCCTGTCCTCCAGGGTGCGCTGCTCCTCGTTATTCACTTTTCCCTACTACCTTCCCTCTGCGCCCGGACTCCATCACCGGCGACTTCCGGGCTTCCTTTTATCAAACACTGAGATTCACGCGAAGTCCGGAGTACACTGTTCAATCCTGTTGATGCTAGATTAAGGGGTCTCCAGGGATACGTTATCGGGTTGGTGATCGGCAGCTTTTTATCATCGAAATCACACAGACTCAGGGTTGGCAACAGCATGAACGATTGTTCCGGATCGACGTTGCGAATATCATCGACACAACCGTCTACGGTCATCGATAAAGAAGGCCATCTAATTTTATAATCCTTCCCGAATAAGGTGACACAAATCCCGCCATTGTTCACCTTCGGCGCCGCGGAATTGTCGGAACGAACCCCTTTCCCATCCCCCGCCTCCTAACTCCTTACTCCCCCACGCGTGTGTCACGTCCTCTCCGCCCTCCGCATGGCCTATCTCCGGGAGGAGCCTCTAGCAGCCGGCCTGCTCACTGCGCTCGTGTCCTCCGTTGCGTCTACGCCGACCTCTACGTCTTTCGCTACGTCCGTTTCATCCGCGCCGAATCCTTCTTCTACGTCCGATCCCGGAAAGGGCGATGGCGGCGGATCGAGCCTACATGAGTGGTCATCACTGATCGGTATCATAACTGCGCTGGCCGGGAATGTGTTGATCTCCTTGGCTCTGAACATCCAAAGATACGCACATATCAGGATAGCGAGGGAATTGGAACATGACAAACAACAACAGGAACTGGACTGGAAACGCGCAAACCCCAGTCGAGCGAACTCGGGATCTTACGATGCGGTTTCGGATCATGATCGGCTGAACGGTCAACGTGGACGGGACCAGACCAAACGGTTTGGTCGATATCGGGACGAGTCGCCGGATGCTCCGTACCATGACCAGCCTCACATCGACGTTGGACCGGATGACGAGATGGCGGACGACGCTTCAGACACCCACGATCAGATGCAGGAGTCCTTTTCGTCGGATAGGACGGCGCGACCGGGAGAGAAAGATCTACGTCGTAAATCCTACCTGCGATCCCCGTACTGGTGGGTTGGCATCGTGCTGATGTGCTTGGGCGAGGTGGGAAACTTCATGGCCTACGGATTTGCCCCGGCATCGATTGTGTCTCCCCTCGGCGTGGTCGCCTTGATCTCGAACTGCGTCATTGCTCCGTTCATGCTGAAGGAGAAATTCCGAACGCGTGACTATTGGGGCGTCCTGGTTTCAATCGCTGGGGCTGTGGTGGTTGTCCTCAGCGCGAAATCGTCCGAGGAGAAAATCGGCCCTCACGATATCTGGGTGATGATCACGCGGTGGGAGTTTGAGCTGTACTTGGGCCTTACTGCAGGATTAATTGTCGGCCTCATGTGGGCGAGCGGCAAACACGGGGCACGAAATATTCTAATCGATGTCGGTCTGGTGGCTCTATTTGGTATGCATTCTCGCTTCACTTTGCTTGTTTAAGCAAATACTGACGTAATTAGGTGGATATACGGCTCTATCAACCAAAGGTGTATCCTCGCTCTTATCCTTCACTCTGTGGCATGTGATTACCTTCCCGATCACTTATCTGCTGGTCCTGGTGCTCGTTTTCAGTGCTCTCATGCAAATCCGGTACATCAACCGAGCCCTGCAACGATTCGACTCCACCCAGGTCATCCCCACGCAGTTTGTTCTGTTCACGCTCTCGGTTATCATTGGTAGTGCCGTGCTCTACCGGGATTTCCAATCATATAGCGTCGCGCGAGCTGCAAAATTCGTAGGTGGCTGTCTCTTGACTTTCCTTGGCGTGTACTTTATCACAAGTGGCCGAGTCAGGGCCGACGACGAGTCGTCCTATTCCGCAGAAGATGAAGAAGAAACGATCGGTCTGTTTGGGGGAGATCGGTACCGGGACCATGTCGACATGTCGCCTCCTGCACGCCATTTTAGAGTCCACGAGACTGGCCAAAAGATTCCTGAAGAACATGACGAACTGCGATCTCCAGCCGGATCGTTCATCAGTCGTGGAATCGAAGATCTTGACGAAGGCCAATCGGTTAGATCGCTGACAGCTGAATCAACCCAAGCATCTCCCGCGCCCTCGCCGTTCCATTCCGAGTCTCTCTTAACGAACCCGTGGGCCGATGTTCAAAGGCCAGGAATCGATACGCACAAGTCCGAGCCGCAGATCCCTCGTCCCTCCACTCCGGAACAGGAACAATCGGACTCGACTGTCCTTCTCCGCTTCCCTCCGGCCCCCGGTGCCGAAGAACAGGGACCTCCCAAGACAGCCAGCGCTGCCGAGCCTGAACAGCCCAAGCCCCAGAACACCCTCGTCCCTCAAACGCCACCCGCACGCCGACTGCGCAACTCCATCTCATCTCGTTTCTCCCCGGGTCCTCTTCTCCCGACTATCTCGGCCGGCTTCAGTGCCGTGGTTGCCGAATCTCTTCGTCGCGGCGAGACCAGTCCTGTGAAGGAACGGAAACATCGACGAAGAGAACGAGGGAAGCATCTTAGCACAACTGTCCTAGACGGATACCTCCGCAACCGCGATTCGGACACTCGGGCTCCTGTTGATGCTGAAGCTAGCAATCAGCCCAGCACTGCGGACGGTGCTTTCGACGCTCGATTTGCGCTAGCTACGGCCCGTCTTCACTCCACCGGTGATCTGGCTACCGCTCCTGTGACCCCTGGGCTTGATGGCGGCGAGATCCGCCACCCTTCCCAGGGCGACGAGATTGCCTCGCTCTCGAGGCTGCGGAGTCTGAGTGACTCGTGGAGCGGAGGACTGTCCTGGCTTGGCAACACGCTTCGCAGACAGGACGGGAATGCTCAACCAGACAGCCAGTCTCAGGGACAGGGACAAGGAGCGCATGCCCATGATCAGTCGTCAACCGGCGAACAAGCACAAACACCAAACCAACAGCACAATCAACAAAATACAGACCTCTCAGACCGTGTATAGGAAAAGCAGGTCGATTTATCTAGGATATTCAGCGAACCAGGGAGGCTTTCTTATTTCATGTGTATCATGTCGCATTCCAGGACATTTTTTATTATTTGTTCTTTTTCTTCGAGTACACCAATTCCTCTACCAAAAAGGTGACTGGCTCACTCGGGGCAGTCTCTTTGTTTTTCGTCGGTATATTCAGCCGGTCATCACTTTGTTCGTGTCGAGGGTTTTTTTGCCATCATTTTATGCTAGTGCCAATTCCATTGTACTTGTAACCCACTCTTCTTCTAGTCTTGATTCCTTCTGTTAGGTTTTGACTGATCTGTTTCTAGTTGTCCTTGACTATTGTACTCTACCCATGTATCTATATATGTACTCACTCCATAGAATAAGTCCACAAATTGCTCGTTTGTCTCCAAAGTAGAACCGGCTGCTGGCAAGGATTCAACCTTATTCAGACACGTATTTCCGTCGTGTTGCGCCAGATAAACCGTAGTATTCTATAGCGCTGATAATCTAGCTGTTGTACATTAGGCTGGGCATGTGTACCTTCATACCATTGACCTAAGGTGCTCCTGGTATCATCACCGTAAACAACTAGTATGCCTTTACAACGAGATCCCATATAGCCGACTTGAAAGCTTTTAATCTGTGATGTGAATTACTCACTAAGCCAGGCCCTGCGTGAAAATCCTTGGTTGTGCTAGAAATTCCGGTACGTATAGGTACATTTATACGCAAATTACATTCTGGTTCAGTTTCGCTAATCACGTTAGGACAATGTCGTTTGGCTGTTCTCGGAACATTCCGATATCATCGTCCGGGTGTCGGATTAGCACTAGTATATACCCATACAAGAGAGTGCAAATCAATGTGTCTAAGATGATCCACACGGGTCTCTCAATTCAATTCGTAATGCTTAAAAGTGCCGTAACAGCACGACCAAAACGTAGAAAACTAGATTTCCATAAATCCTGTCAGCAAAAGACGGTATTTATGACTATGTAGGTACGTACGTAGTTATATAGTTCTCCATTACCTAATCCCTCGCCCCATCCCCATCCTCCCTCTCCCTGCTCGACTCGACAAACATTTCTCGGCTCTCTCAACACGCTCCTGGACTCGGTTGTTTAGTCCCACGAAGACCGGCTCCGCGTCTTCTCCTGCCCAGCTTTTCACTGTGGCTCGCGTGTCTGCGAGTGCTTGCATCCCGCTCGTGTCGATGTGTGTGACGCGTGTCATGTCGAGGATTACGGTGCGGAGGGAAGGGAGGGAGGTTTCGCGATCAGCTGAGATAGAGGAAGAGGAGGGGTGAGGGGTTGTTAATGTGCCGGCAGCTTTGCGGAGGTGTGGTGGTGGTAGATGATGGTCTTTCGTGAATCCCAGAACTATACGTATAGATATGTACCTATACAGACTTGATTTTCTAGAATTAATGTTACTTTCCCTGTTTGGATGGGGCCGCTTTAATGAGGGCGCTCAGGGGGTTGCTCATTGAGTATTTCTTATTACCGGTCAAGGCTCAGTAAGTGCTCAGGTCCTACTCACGTGCGCAGTGAGCTACTCATCTGTGGCCGCGGGAGATGACTAATCCGCTTATATCATCGCCTTGCTTGACCGATCATGCAACCGTATTGATTTATGACAATAAATCATGAAATTCCGCTCATTTATGACGATCGTGAAGCCCCTGAAATTGCATAAATATCGGCTTCTTTATCGTGTAGTTAGAAAGAATCAAGACCTTCATTCATTTGAATATGATCATATAACTCAGTTGGATAATCACTTCTTCGGTAGACCCACATATTTCTGCCACACGGAGTAAGACAGTGCTCACGTGGTCCGCCGCTGGATTCCTACAACCGTCAACCATCAACCAACACAGCCACTTTCTTATTATCGGGACCCCATCAAATCATAGGCAGTGGAGATACCCCTCTCGTTGCCCTTCGTTAACCCTGGCTATCTTGGTCTCAGACCCCGGCCTAGTGTCAAGGCCTCTAAACCCAACGAGGAAAGCCGCAAATGAGCCCAAGGCTGGGAGCGCATCATCGGCCGTATCACCGTTCGCCAAAATTGCGGCAACTGCAAGGCTAACATGGGTGTCATTCTGAAAGCAACGGAGATGCTCCGTTCTAATAGCCTACATGAAAGACATGGGGCTACCGAAACCCCTGTAAATTCAGGGGCGGAATCGCAACGCGACCCTCGCTGATTTTCTTTGCGTTCCAACAACTCACTCCAGTTCAACATACTGAACAACTGACAATGTGCGATCTTACTCCTGAGCGTGCAGGTCAGATTATTGACGAAATACGACTTCTCAATGGTGTTATATCGGATGAAGAGCGAGCGAGCACCCCTGCAGGCGTTTTGAGGGCTCTGGATGCTCTGCGACAAAACTGTGCTGAGACAATTTCGCGATTGGACCCTATCAGCGGCCGGCTACTGATCTATCAACTTATTTCGAAAGCAACCTGCTTGGAATATGATAGGGCAAAAGCACGGCGAGAAGATCCCTTTATAAAATTCACTCTTTCGAAGGATGGCCTAATCATCGACTCGAATGACAATGGATATTCAGAAGAAGACATTCGGGAACTGTGTAAGCCATATCCTGAACAAAGGCTGGTATTACTACTTCATCATGAGCTGTTTGCGGCATTTCAGATTGGAAGCAAAGTGAGCATTCAGTCAGCACCGTTTTCTCTCTCCTTTCAGTACGCAGTTGGCGACAACAAGATGGACAAGATAACACCCAAGCGCGAAGACTTAATGGTACTTCCACCAAAGGTATCTCTTCGGATTTCGATAACTGGTTTCCATCCAGGTCGATTTGATGAATTAAGAGATGCTTTGCGCGACATCATAAGAGATGGGATGTATGTGTTCGATTCGAAAGGCATACATTTCTATTTCACAATCGTGCCAGTGCCACAGCATCCACAGCCTCGAGAACAATTTCATGCACACTACAAAATTGATCATCAAGGCGACAGGATGGTTGTTACTATCCTTGAGAAAGTCCTGCCCCGACACTGTATCAGTTTGAGAAAACCCGATATCAGGGAGTATTATCGTGTCTTTAAAAGGACATTTGATATTAGAACAGCGGCAACTGCGAGCAGACGAGCTACGATTTACCTGTGCTTCCCAATCGATCAGAAATCGCGCGCTTTAGCCCATCGAGGAGGGCTTTCGTCCATGTACGGACATTGCGGTATATTACCTGGTTTCAGTGTGTTAAATGTGAGCTTCTCGTTGCATACTAAAGAAAGATTTAAATCCTAAGATTTTTAACTCCACAGTTTATGGTTTGCTCTGCAGACATTGATCTGTTTGAGGGAAATTGGGATGCCTCTGTCCCAACCGAAGATAAATCGAAATTCCTTTGTGACGCGATGGTCTTTCTTTCAGGCCTAGAATCTATGCAATATGAGTGGGTTCAATATATCCCGAGAACAAACACTGTCAATAAGAAGATATTGGGTTACTTGTACGAGCACCTCAAGAGATCGAGGATCTTTCGATCAGAGAAGGGAACCAAAATGCCGCTGTCATCCTTGTGCTATCTTAGACCAGAACACTGCGATAGGCATGGGCGGCCCCTCTTCCCGGATCTGACAGACGAAACCTATCTCTCAATTCATGGGCGGCCCCTCTTCCCGGATCTGAAAGACGAAACCTATCTCTCAATTCTCTCGACCAGATACAGCCCATTCCTTGAATTCCTGAAACCTCTTGGCGTCCGACAGGTATCAGATCTTGAATTGCTTGAACAAGTCAAAGAGTTCTACAGGCCACTATCATGTACCTTCAATCCACCTCAGGACAATGATTGGAGTTCACGGGTTGCCCGGCTTTTAACATCATGGCTGGAAATGAAACCTGATGGCGTATTGGCGACCGGCGTCAAGGAACTCAGGCTCCTTCTCCTTTCCGATGGGACAAAGGTTCGAGGCGTTGATTGCGTTCCGAATGAAGTTTGGCTTTCCCATGACACAAATGGCAATGTTGTTCCTGCGTTCCCTCAAGTTATTTGTCGCCGTGATTTCAAAGCTTTGGATGACGCATCCAACAGACTGTACAAGAGCCTTGGTATACATTGCCCCAATCACCAGGAGGTCATGAAGCGAATAGATTCTCAAACTCATCAACTTCATGACCCTTCGTCATCAGGTTATGTCCTTGATATGCTGCTTTATATTAAGACAACAGCAACCAAGATTGACAAACGTCAAATCCATTGCCTTTTGATGTTCGACAGGGAGTTCCACAAAGATCTAACACCTGGTGCGAATGGATTATGCCGCTGTCAGTTGCAGAGAGATGTGTATTTCCCGTCTAACGATCCTTACAGCATGAGTAAAATTGCTGAAAGATTGAACATGATAAGCAACATCCCTGCGATTCATGTCTTGAATGAGGGTTTGATTCATCCAACCCTACTTGAGGAACGCGGAATCCCGTCTACCGAGTGGGTTTCATGGTTGGAAAATGTGGCATTGGTTCGTCGTGTGCCTAGGCTGCAGAACAGACTGGACTCGACCCGGCTGTCGGATATTTTTGAGGCAATCCTCAAATACTGCCCGACCATGTTTCTTGGTGTTCTGGGAACTCACTGGCATGAATATAAAGGCGGACTAGAACCGGAAATCATCTCGAGGATCAAAGAAACATCCGTTTCAACATTGAGTGGCGACAGAATGTTGCGTGAATGCTACCTCTCTACTCGAGAACTCCGCACTATAGTTATCAGGATACTGGGATCCAACCTGGGCTCGCCATTCCTACTCCATCAGGATGCATTTTCTGAGAAAGTGCGAGATAAATGGGGATTTTTGTCCATATTTGGCGTGCTCACGGACCCAACTCCGGCCTTCTTTGTGGAGCTATCCAAACAACTATCACAAACTGTTCCATTGGCCAAAGCCAGATCGCAGTTCCAGGAGCTTTACGATATAATTTCCGAAAGGAATCAGGATGAAATACGGTAAGTTGAATATCCTTCCATTCCTTGTGCTCTCTGTAACGATGAAACTAGGACCTTCTTCCAAGAGACCAACGTTATCTACATTCCCGATGAGAACAAAAGCGCAAAGCTCGTCCCTTTAAAAAGTTGTGTCTGGGATGGGCCCGAGTGGCTACAATCATCACATCGGCTGCGACATATCAAGGAATACTTTGAGAACCGAAGCATCCAGTTCATGCTCAGGACCACACTCGGCATCCAAGATGCGACTTTGCATACCTATATCAGAGAGCTACAACATCAGCAAGACCTGGGACTAGGATGGATTTCCCAGATTGAAAGGACATATGAGCACTTAGCCAAGATGCAAATGAATGAACAGGATGTAACTTTTGTGCAGTGAGTGAGCGCCCTGTTCGAATTGTCAATGGCGCAATATTTACTCAAAGATATCTCCAGAGATCAGTTCAAACAACATAAGCTTGTCTACAACCCGAAGACTTCCAAGTGGCATACCCTCGAAGAATGCATTTGGGCAGCACCATCAGACGAAGATAATATTGGAATTACTGAATACTATCCTAAACTCCGTGAACTTTTCGTGGATAGACTACTCATTGAAGAGCCGACAGTTCAATCGTATGTAGCGAAGTTGGAGCGAACTGCAGGGAAGAATACACGCACAGACCAGATTTGTTCCCTGATACAGAGGATTATCAATCTCTCACCGTCGCCATCCGATCTTGACCCACTAAGTGAGGTCAGTTTCTTACCAATCGAGGGCATGAATCAGAAACACTACTACGCTTCACCGAAAGATGATTTCTTCATTATTGATCAGGACGGCTGGCCTAGCAATTTTAGAGGTCTTGTGCCTACCCTCCGGCTGACAACCAAACAAATTCAAGAAATCAGACCGTTCCTAGATGCTCTTGCGTTGGACAATCGGTTTATATCTGTTGCAGGAATGAAAGAAACGCTCGTGTTGGAAGAACCAAAAGCGGGATCACAAAGCCTGACGTTTGATTTTCGGGACCGAGCGATCCCATTTTGCAGGTATGCTGAGTACACGAACAGAACCATGTCACCAGGCAAAGCTGATATCGAGCAGATGCTCCGTATTCTATGCCGGGGACAAGGGGAAGTCCCCTCAAGAACTATACGACATCTTCAGTACCTCTGTGATTTACGAGAGCCTGAAAATCGAAGCAAGATGCACGCTGAGAATGTCTGATGGGACAAACAAGTCAATCGGAGTCCCAAGCAAGCTCCACTTGCAGTTCGAGAACGAAGAATTGCACATTGTGGTTCCAAGCAACGGAACCCAGAGAAAAGTCTGCTACGCAACGCAACTACCCGCAGCACTGGCGGGTCTGTATGCTAGCAATAGCCCAGTAGCACGCGGAACATTTGCAACCATTCTTCGAGAGCCGATTGAGGCGCTGGACGACATCCTGATTGACTACGGGATTCCCGACCTGCCAGAGCTGAACATCCCGGATAAGCTGTCTATCAAAACTGAAACTGGGTGTACGAAGACGGAGGTGGAGGACATATTTTTCACACCAAGTGCCAGCCTGACCAGCAGTCTCACTAATCCGTCTGGGCTTTTCAGTGCGGTGGATTCTGCACCAGCGAATTTGGATATTCTGGCAGTTCGATTGAAGAATCTGCTTCCTCCGTCAGGAAAGGATGAAGAAAGACCGGCATAGTCATCTCGGGCTTGGTTCGCGAGTGCGATTTTTGGACCGCAAAGTCTACCTGTATATATTCTTTTGTGTTGGACTTATCAGTATATTCCCAGCCTTCATGGTCTTGGTCTACATACTCAGCAGAACATTGCTGCATGTCAAGTAGGTCGAGTACTGTAAATTCAGCATCACTAGAAACCTGGATATTTCATGGACAATTGATTAGGACTGATAGATACAGGAAATTACGGCAGTGATGATCCCAGTAGTACCCTGATAAGCCAACGAGATTTCGGCCATCTAGTTACCAAAGCCAACTCCATTAACCCTCCATATTTTAGCTTCTATTTAGGTAGTAGAACATATAATTAAAAGGCGCACTATAATAAGCATACCTTTGCTACAATTTAGTGAAACCATATCCTAAGAAGTAAACGCGTAATAACTATAAGTAATTCCAAAATCAACCCACCTCTCGCGTTAAGTAGCTACATAAATCCTCTAAATGTTCCAGAGGTGAGATCCGAACCTCTCATATTAACGTTGTGTTCTACTTGCGCGCTAAGTTTTAGATGTTAAATCCTTATAGATCCACACGGCAACATCAAAAAGATTGAATTAATTTAAAATGCGAATAACACCCTCTCTAGAAGGACGTCAGTCGCCCTTTAGGTTCCATAAGACGATAATAAAGACGATTGGCAGATTATCACGCTAGTCCTAATACGCCAATAACTAAGAGCTTCCCGTTTCTAGAGTGCACCCTCGCGTAATATTGTCATATAGATATCTTCCTATAAAGAGAATATTCAGTCTACTATATAGATAGGTGCAAATCATAGAAAGTAAAAAGCAGCTTCATCAGTTATTTCAACCAATAGGCCAATATGGCCCCATTATCGCATTATTTTTAGTACTTTTCTAGTAACTATAACCCAATTATTTTTCACATATGGGCGGGAGGCTTTAATATAGATAGTAACAATAGGGACACTCTCAGGCTCTATTATATTTTATTGTTGTAAAATTTAAACATATATCAGCGTAATTATATGCTTATGAAGAATTTCTTAAATATTCTTTTTAATTTTAAACTACGGACCAGAGAAACTATAAGTAAGAGGACATACCATTATCCTAACGGGAATGAAGCAAAAGTAAGGATTACCCGCTCTAAGATCCTTGTTCACAAAGTTATCTAATGCCGGTTCACTACTTTCATTGCTGGAACCTTTATTCCTGCGAGTTCTACCGTCAGGCGATGGGGGATGATGACCGCTTTCCAGTTGACAGGAGTCACGGTGATGCAAGACACTCTTCGAACAGCGACCCCGTCGACAGTGTAGATCCTGCAGAAGAAACCACGCTTCCAGACATCCTGGCAAATGTGCTTCTAGAAAGAGTGGAGAATTTGAGGAGCTTTGGGCGCAGGGCTGATAGAGAGGGAGGCGTGGGAGGTGAGGAAGGGAGTGAGTCACAATTTTAGGCAGGAGTCAACCACGTAACAGTGAATGTAGTAATGGCAATATCATTAGCAAAGAGATGAAGTATAGCATCACTATGAGTGCAGCACAGCTCTATGATCCTCTCCCGAATAGCCTCCAGTACATACGACCACAGGGTGTGGAGAACAGGGCTTCCCGTCCGCTCAGCCGTACTTAAGCTACTTTGAGTTCGCACAGTTAATTGTCGAAGAGCCCTTAACCCGAATACTTTTCTGGAACGATCTTTAGATTGGGTGCCAACGATGGGGGTGCTCTGTTTATGTACAATCGCCCGAAGTCGCCAACGTCGCCGGTGTTCGTCAATGGTCGCCGGTGTTCATCAGCAGTCGCTAATGATTAGAACCAGAAAGGTTTAATGAGGTGAACAGGGGGTTTTTAAGCTGATTCAGAAGCTGTTGATAAATAGGCGGAGGGCCTTTGCGATTTTGTTGTAACTTCTGGACTTGTTTTTACCCAGCCTTGCCGAACTCTGAATCTTGCTGGCTGCGTGGTATCAAGAGTCTAATCATCATCCAGATTGGAAGCTTACAAACAGCGTCAATAGCTGGACAACAGATAAGATAGGCCTTGCATGGTTGCAGTGTCTATTTGATCCTTTTTCTAAACTGCATTCAACTGGCACAAAGCGGTTACTTATTCTTGATGACCATTCAAGCCATCAAACCATTGAATTTGACGACTTTTGCAAAAAGAATGCATTATCTGCCTTTGCATGCCTCCGCATTCATCTCATCTTCTTTAGCCTCTGGATGTTGGTGTTTTCGGACCGCTTAAACGCGCGTACGACAATTTAGTTGAGGGTATAATGAGAGCTGGAAATAACCATATCGATAAAGAGGGTTTTCTCCATATATCCTTCGGCACACAAAGAAGTCTTTACTGAAAAGAATATGTGCAATAGATTTGCAGGATCAGGTCTTAAACCACTCAATAAAGACCGGGTTCTTGAGAAAATTACCTTTCAACTTCGCACGCTAACACTACCACATCTTACTGAAGGATCAATATCATCTGCATTTCAAACACCTCATAATCCTCGTCAACTTGATCACAAGATTCGCAGTCTACAAAAAAGTCTTCGAAAGAGAAGGACACTTTCTAGTAATCCAGTCTCTCATATTTAACATCTTGAAAAGGCTGCCCAAATAGCAATGATCGCATTCAGCAGCTTGATACACAACTTAATGAGCAGGTTGATGAGTCTACACCCGTGCCTCATCGACGTGCTCCACCACGCTGCAGTGGCTGTAGGACTATTGGACATACATTATGAAGCTGCCCTAGTAAAAAGCTTTTAATTTTTTAATTCATATAGTCTAATTTAATGACGTTGGTGGTTGAAAAGCTTCAATACGCTTGTGGTTGTGGAGAAAATGGTCCGCTCGGGGGAATTGATAAGGACACATTTTTTACTAACGGCACCATAAAACTGATTAACGTAATCCACGGTCGAGCCGCGGATACGACCGAGTCACGGATTTTCACCGGAATCCCCATCTTCTTCATTCAACGCGTCAAAATTCAACCATCAACATCAAATATGCCTCTTTCTAAAGAATCCCGAATCCAGATGGCTATGCAGGCCTATCAGAAAGGTCAAATAAAATCAAAATTGCGTGCTGCAAACGTCTTTTCTGTCCCTGAAAGTACCCTACGCAATCGGCTTCACGGAATAAAATCACGATCAGAAACACGCGCCAATGGTCATAAGCTATCCATTCATGAAGAGCAATCCCTTGTGCAACAGCTCCTAGAGGCATATAAACGAGGATTTCCAATTCGACCCGAGTTTCTGCGTGAAATGGCACAGACCTTCGTGAACGAATCCAAAATTCAACTGCGACTATAGGAGTAAACTGGACTTATTCTTTTACGAAACGCTATCCTGAGATACGTACACGATATAGCCGGCGAATTACATATCAGCGTGCTAAGCAGGAAGATCCAAGGGTTATAATACTATGGTTTCAAGTAGTACATGCGGCTATTCAAGAACATGGTATTAATGAGGACGATATCTGGAACTTTGATGAGTCTGGCTTTGCTATGGGACTATGCTCTACTTCTAAGGTGATTACTGAAGTAGAGCGCAGTAAGCGACCACGCAGAGTCATTCAGGGCAACCGTGAATGGGTCACAATCATTGAACCTGTCAGTTCAAAAGGCGTGCATATACTACCAGTCCTTATACTCAAACCAGGCAATCAACAAGCTGCCTGGTGTCAAGAGCCTAAGCTTGGTAAAGACTGGTGGATTGCAACTAGTCAGAATGGCTGGAAAACATATGAAATAGGCCTTCGCTGGTTAAAATAAGTGTTTGAACTATCCTCCAGACGCTATATGACTGGTTCTAAGCGGTTACTTATTCTAGACGGCCATAGAAAAGTGTGCAAAGGCTTTTGATGTTGCACCTAGCACCTTTAAAACGCGTCCTAATGGCATCAAATCTCGCAGCAAGATAGAAGCCAATTCAAGAAAGCTTTCTGATACAGAGGATCTCACTCTAAAGAAGTGGATTCTAGATATGGATTCTCGCGGCTTTCCTCTTACAATTGCTAGCGTACGTCGTTGGTGAGCTTCTTCTCGCTGCAAAAATGAAGCCATTCAAAGACCCCATCTCTTCCTCAAAGATCGATGGGTGAATCGGTATACCCAACGTCATCACCAAGATATCCGGTCGAAATTCACAATCAAATATGATTACCAACGAGCAAAATGCGAGGACCCTAAGATTATAAAGCCATGGTTCGATGTGGCTCGAAATACAATACAAAAACATGGGATCCTTGAACAGGATATCTACAACATGGATGAAACTGGCTTTCAAATGGGAATAGCCTCAACTGCAAAGGTGATCTGTGGTCATGAAGTTAGAAGATCTCATGCAAGATCAGTCCAGCCGGGGAATAAGGAATGGGTGATCTCTATTGTCACTATTAATGCTGCTGGTACTGTTCTACCACCACAGATTATCTTTGCTGGAAAGATGCACCAATCACCGTGGTATGAAGCTATTCCTAAGGACTATCGGATTAGTATGAGTGAGAATGGATAGAAAAATCATGATTTTGGCTTTGAATGGCTTCAAGAAGTCTTTGAAAAGCATGCTGCCTCACAGACTGCTGGCTGACTACCCACTTCTTACGTCTGAACAAGGAAATGACAAGAAGTCATTGGTTTATTACCCCGCCTCCTGAAACGGCCGGCATACAGACTAGAGGTACTAGGTAGGTTCCCGTGGTTATTTAGGCAACAATATAACTGAAAACAGCAATATCTCAGTAAGTAAAGTACACTGCACCGGCGTACGTGATTCTAGGACTGATAAACAGTGTCTGGATCCAGCAACAAATGAAACCCAACTAGATACGCCAACCTATCAGCATAGTTCAGTGTTAAGACTTACTACTCTTTTCACGAGAAATCATTCATTGACACGGTATGATGTATCTAGGCCAAATTTTAAAAGTGGGTGGCTCCAAGAGTCATGTCGTCATAGACCTGAAGGGCAATGTCTATTTAATAAGTTTTATTAGAGAACACTTCATGTTCAAGTCTGCAACCACAATACTTGCAAGAGTCTTTAGTGAGTGTGAAACACTTACGGCAATCCCTATGGAGCAGATAACAGAAGATCTATTTCGGGTTTAAATTGGCTCGTAGTTACCTAATGCTTTTCGCAAGGTCTTTGAGAAAATCGTCACATACGCCAGCGAGCTTCGTGGCTATAAGATCTCCGATGATGAAATTGAAGTCACCTAAAAATTGGCAGGTCCCTTCATCCCTGGAGGACTTCTTGTTTTGCTCATTGAGCCACGTCAAAAACATCCGTGGGCTAGTGGCGTCTATTGTGTGGTTGAAGACTGCGCTACTCTCAATGCGTTACAGCAAGGTTTTCACATTGCGTTAAAAGGGGCATTGTCTCTGTTTGAAAATGTGTTAATCCTTGATATTCGACCTTTCATATGGAGCGGTCTTAAACAGGGGCTTGAAAAAGATCAACTGAAAAGACTCTACGACCTTGTAATCGAAGCTATCCATTCATTAACATTCTCTCAGCGTCACTCCCGCGGACTAGCCTATTTTCAGATTAGTAGATTATTTTGGTATGTTGCCTGGTCGTATTCTTGTTATGCAGTGCATGATTTGTGCACTACTCCAAGTTCGAGAACGTTCGATGTGATTCGAAGCATATAAACCGAAATTTTGCCAAGTCGACCTCTTCCTTTCTTCCTAGAATGCTTCTGGCCTCATCTTTCGCTGATAATTGATCTCAGATTGGACAGGATGACCTGAGTCGGGTTGAGGGAGTCGTGAGGACACGTACTAAATGCAAAAATGGCCATGCGTGACTAAATTGGATAGACTGCAAGGGCTTGAACATGTCATTTCATGAATTATGTTAAGAAACGGCCAATAAGACTCTGAGGCTCCACTCCACAGACGCTACTGGTCAGACGGAGCGCCAGGTCTCAGGAACCACGGGTACACCTATGAGCCTTTTAGGTGGATGAGGAAAAGCACAGTATCTCAGGGGGAAAAAAGGGAGGTCATGAGTATCCGGAACAATTTTGGCTAGCTAAAATAATGCAAAATTTATTGGGAGTAATAGACCCGAAGGCCCACCGCATGTTCCATTGTGATTGACCAGTCCGAGATGAAAGGGACCGCGCTGAGCGGGCAGGCTCGGAGAGCGTAAATGGTTCTTACCGCCTCTTCTTAGTCGACAGTACACACATACTTCCTACAAACCTTCGTTTTGTGATGTCGGCACCCTTACAGATCAAGCCTCTATCATAGCTACAATGGCCGATTCCAAGTCGACTCGTTTGAAAAGATGGTTCCGTCAAACGCTCGGATCTCAAGATAACACTTTTATACCGCATCAAACGGATAATTGTGTCCACCACCCCTCCGTTTCGGAATGTGCGTCAGCTGCCCTTGCCGGCGAAAGTCAGTCCCAGCCACAGAATCCATCTTCTCCGCAAGACCTATGGAAGTCTGCCTTTGATCAACTGCTTGCGGAGGAAAAAAAAGCTCTACGAACGAGCGTTGTATCTTCTACTACCGATGCGATCAACAATGTCATCGAGACCACAAAAGAAAAATATGAGGAATACCAAGAGAAAGGGGGGATCAGAATTCGGAAGTCAACGGGAGAAGAAGTCAACATTCGAAAAGTTTCCAAAAAAAATAATCGATGCTACCCTCTCTTTCAAGGAGGTCATCAGCGCAGGAGTAGCTTGTGACTCTACGGGTCATGCTGCAAGCGCGTGGGCAATAGTGTCACTTGGCCTGACTGTATGTGGTGTCGGTAGTTTTAGACAGCAGGGCTGACCATCAATGCACAGATGGCGAAAAATCATTATGACCGTCGAGATGCCTTGTTCGAGTCCTCAGAGTACCTTGCAGAGGCTCTTGCGCGATGCGCATATATCGAACAGAAAATCTGCCACAATCGACCGGATGGAGACGACTTGGTGACACAAGCCATAATTACACTCTACAGAACAATTCTTCAGTACGCAGCAAAAGTCATGGCTAGCCACAATATGAGTACCGGGGGCAAGTTGCTCGACAGTGTTACGGCAACAACCGCCCAGTATATCACGGAGTTTCGGTACTCTATTGAGAAGGAGGAACAAAAGCTGTTCCACTTTGCTCAGTTACAAACAATTGAGGAAATCGAGAGGATCACAGCGTTCACACAAACACAGAATGAGAAGGCTACAGAGGAGATCCTGACTGCCATCGATGACAAACTATCAAAATCCCTCAATGCCCTGAACCTACGTTTCAGTCTACCTATTGCTGCGAATGCATTCTGGAACTCATACCAACATGAGGATCTATGCCATGAAGACACCAGAGTTCAGACGCGCTCCCAAATAGCACAGTGGGCAGACTCAGTTGAAAACGAGTGTATCTTCTGGTTGAACGGCGGGGCGGGAACTGGAAAATCCACTATTGCTCGGACTGTTGCGCAGGCCTTCGAAGCCAAGGGCCAGCTGGGAGCCAGCTTCTTCTTCAAAAGAAATGAACCCGACCGCGGCAATGCAAGACGACTTATACCTACCATTACAAAGGAGCTTATCAAGCAAAACAAGGACCTCGCGTCTGGTGTTCTGAAAGCGATTGAGCACGACCCGCAAATCGCCGCGAAGGACGTCACGGAACAATTCAACAAGCTGCTTCTCGAACCTTTGAAAAATGTCGCTATGTACCCAAGCAGAACACTGGTGATTGTGATCGATGCGTTGGACGAGTGTGAGAATAATAAAGAAATTGGAACAATCCTTCAGTTTCTTCCGCGGGTGCGAGAGCCCAGTAGCATGAGGTTGAAGATTTTCCTGACGAGCCGGCCGGAGTTGCCACTCCGACGTTTCTTCGAAAAGGAGAGTTCTCACCAAGGCTTGATCCTTGAAAGAATTGCCGAGGAAGCCATTAAAGAAGACATCATGCGGTTTCTAGAACATCGTTTCGCGGAGATCGGAAGACAAGCGAACACCGGCAAAGACTGGCCAGGTGACGAGGTACTTGAAGCTCTGGCGACAGCGTGTATGCCGTTATTCATTTCCGCTGCTACGATATGCCGATTTATCGAACAGTCAGGAGAAGACCCAGTAGAACGTCTTGCCGATATTCTGAACGATCAACGCAGATATGTGACGAAAATGGACAAGACATATGGCCCTATTCTTGACCGGATACTTCGTGAACGAGACGAGGATGAACAAGAGAAGCAAGTCACGCGGTTCAAGCGAATATTCGGTGTGATTATTCTCCTTTCTGTCCCTCTTCCAATCAACGCGCTTTCCGAATTTGTTGGCATCAGCGCCAGATCCGTCGAGTTCCTGTTGGATTCCTTTCACTCAGTCCTGAGAATACCTGACGAACAAGACCTTCCAGTCCGCATTCTGCACCTGTCTTTTCGAGAGTATCTCCTTACCACACAATCATGCTTTCATGTGAGTGAGGGCTTGACGCACAATGATATGACATCACATTGCTTTCGCGTCATGAATCAGCATCTCAAACGCGATATTTGTGATCTGCAGAGCTTTGGTATACAACGCGAGGACATAGATGATAAGACGATCAGAAAATGTGTTCCACCGCATCTTCAGTACTCCTGCCGCTACTGGGTATCCCATCTGACGCAAAGCAAGTCTCCTCTCTCCGAAACAGAGGTTTTATCATTCCTAAAGGCGCATTTTCTTCACTGGTTAGAGGTGATGAGCCTTATAGGGGTGATATCGGAGACTGTTGATATGATGAAGACTCTGCAGTCAAAAACTCACGTTAGGTCCACCCAATGGGCGTTTCAACCGTTACTAATGATGGGATAGAGCGAAAACAATTCCGAGTATTCAGAGTTCTTAACTGACGCGCACCGGTTTATCCTTCAGAATATTCAGATGGCTAATGGTGCCCCGCTCCAACTTTACGCCTCAGGGTTGGTATTCACACCAACATCAAGTTTGGTTCGACAAATATTTGGGAAACAATATTCGCCATGGATACGTGCGCTACCACGAATGCACAAGTCATGGGGTGCGAACAGACAGACTCTAGAGGGCCATTCATGTTCAGTTCAGGCCGTGGCCTTCTCGTCAGATGGTCGAACTATCGCCTCAGGCTCCACTGATAAGACCATCAAGCTCTGGAATGCTGAGACAGGTGAGCAGCGACGGACTCTAGAGGGCCACTCAAATTTAATTTGGGCTGTGGCCTTCTCGCCAGATGGTCGAACTATCGCCTCAGGCTCTAACGATAAGACCATCAAGCTCTGGAATACGGCGACGGGTAAGCAGCGACAGACTCTAGAAGGCCGTTTACGTTTGGTTTGGGCCGTAACCTTCTCGCCAGATGGTCGAACGATCGCCTCAGGCTCCACAGATTTCACTATCAAGCTCTGGAATACGGCGACGGGTGAGCAACGACAGACTCTAAAAGGCCATTCAAGTGCAGTTCAGGCCGTGGCCTTCTCGCCAGATGGCCAAACTATTGCCTCAGGCTCCTACGATAAAACTATCATGCTGTGGTATGCCGAGACAGGCGAGCAGTGACAGACTCTAGAAGGCCATTCAAGTACAGTTCAGGCCGTGGCCTTCTCGCCAGATGGTCGAACTATCGCGTCACACTCCGGCGATAGCACTATTAAGCTCTGGAATGCTAAGACAGGCGAGCAGCGACAGACTCTAAAAGGTCGTTTATTTTGGGTTTGGGCCGTGGCATTCTCGCCAGATGGCCAAACTATTGCCTCAGGCTCCTACGATAAGACCATTAAGCTCTGGAATGCGGCGACGGGTGAGCAGCGACAGACTCTAAAAGGCCATTCAAGTGCAGTTCAGGCCGTGGCCTTCTCGCCAGATGGCCAAACTATTGCCTCAGG